AAAAACTAGCTGTGCCCGCGACTTCGTTCGCGTGGTTGTCGAAAACAAAACAACATCGTTTAGATAACAGTAGGCCATACACATATAAACTCCATTCAAGAAAGAATTTTTTTTTGCTATTTAAGATCCTGACTATAGTATATTTATTTAGTAATATAGGTATAGCTGATAACGTTAATGCTTCCCTATACATATATACTATATTGGCGGTGGAATCACCCGGAGCATATACAAAAAGGTTGTTTGGGTTGCTAACACGTGATAGAGAAACATGAGAGTCCGGCGTGTGAAAAACAATCAAAAGTAAGGTCATGGGGTAACAGACCCTTACAGGGAATTGCACATTTATTGCGTTGGAGACTTGTTACTCTCAGCCGTGTACCATTACAAACTTTTGGAGCACTTAAATTTCTGAGTAGAATGATTGGTGGAGTACCAACTTTTAAATAAATTTTGTGTGCTGGAACACCTGGTTTCATTAGAGAGTCTAAAAACTCTACTGGATAGTGGGTAGCATCTCCTTCTTCCAAAACCGTGTTAATATATGAATATTCCCTACTTTCTCCAGAAACATGTACCAATATTTGAGAATTGATTGCTGCTGCTTGGTCATTGCGAGGTGCCAAAGTAGCTCGTTGGCATAGCCAAGCAGCGTCATGGTTCGAGATCTCTGATGGATCTCCGTATACAGAAGAAATGAGTTCTTGCTGTGAGGCAACAGAAGAACACAGGCTCTCGACTAAAGTTACATTACCAATTTGAAGTAGTAAATTTAAGAAGACCTGCGCGTTTGCGTCACCTCCCAAATATGCTCACATATTAAAGCTCAAATTAGATGATATGATACTACGCCATAAAAAAGAGCTCTTTAAACATGCACCTATTTCATCGGCCCTCGTTCCTCTGGGTATTATAGGGAGTGTCTGCCTAAAGTCTACAAAGTCGATTGGTATTTTAAAATTCCTGAGGAGGCCACCGCTAGGGCAATTTTGTTTTGGCTCCTTATTTGAGCCAAGATAACTTTGGTGAGGAAAGTTTTACCTGTTCCACCAGGTGCATCTAAAAACAATATTCCTCCTAAAGAATTTTCTACACTACAGCATACTCTATCAAAATTAAATATTTGACGCTGTTCTGACGTTATATTTGAACAGCCATTAAGCCCTATTTATACTAACTCCTCAGGGTTGTAATTTATTTCCGATGCACACTCCATTTATTGGTTCCCCACCAGCTGTCGGCGTTGGCAAGCCATATTGACAGAGAAGGTTCCCTACTATACTTACAACTATATCTTGTATAGCTAGCAAAGACTTATTATGGCAGTTTTCCCGTACTTGGTCAGAAGATTCTCTATTAATATTTTCCTGTCTGAAAAAATTTTCGGCAAACGCGTCTTTATATTTTTGCTACAACTGCCCAGCGTCCGATAGGCCACAAAATGTCAATTAAACAAACAAATGACGAAGACGATGTGGACTATCGCTGACGCATACTTCGGCTAAAGCTTCATCCCAATGCTGATCGCCATCTAATAAAGGCCGTGCGCGGCAAGCAGCCTGAAATGAGGGATATTCTATATCGTCCACTTTGCGGAGATCAGTAAAAGTAGGCCCTCGCACTATGTGAAGAAGAAGGCGTAAATAATAACACTGCATTATTTGGGTGCACCGTGTATACTCTTCCAATCACGTGTTCTTTAAAAATGCCGGGCTCACCTTCTACAGCAGTTCCACGTCTCCTGCGTTTAAAAACACCTTGCTGCTTGTTGTAAGTATAATAATGTGGCACTTCATTGTACAACAGAGACTTGGCGAAATTGTCTCTTTCACAAAGGCAAAAAAATGCGAGCAAGGTGGTTTGTCTCGGGTTATGTCATGTTAAATCGGATCTGCGCTATGGTCTGGAAATTCTGCACTTATGAGTCGTATAGAGTCGGGACGATTTTTTTCCTCCAGCCACAAAAGAATGTGCGCATGGGGTAAACCACGCTTTTGCCACTCGACGCTATACATAAAACACAGAGTTGAACCGAAAACTTTCTCCTTTGTAAGTAGATTAATCAAAACTTTGAGTTTCAAATGCAAAATCCTCGCAATAATGTCATAATTAATCTTATAGAGAAAATGACGTATTTGCACAACGCCATCTATCGAATAAAGATATCAACTATCAACATTAGTTCTGTTTTTTGTCTTAAGGTGTCGTTGCAAGTACTATACGGAAATGCGTGTTGTTTTACTTCTTGAACTCACTAAATTAAACATATCTTCTGATAGAGTGAACCGATTTCGATGAAACAAAAACTAAGTTATACCTCAAGTTGTGTAGAATTTTTGTATATAAGCATTGTCTGCATTGAATTCGTAGATTTTACGTGATGCGCGCACAAACAAACATATAAACAGACAAACAGACAAACAGACAAAAATGACAAAAATTACGAAAATGGGTTTGGTTAGTTATCCTTTAACACCCTGGCTATTTTTTTTGACAATTTATTCAATGTACAAAAATTACTTTTCTACAGATTTGTTATATGTATAGATAATGGCTTACTCACATGAAATTGAGAAAAGCTCTACTGTTTTCAAGTCATAAAGGGAATCTACGGGAGGGCGACATCGCGCCGCCGACGCTTATTATGTTATTTTAAACATATTAAGAGTGATACAATGGACTCTTGTTTAAGAGGAGCGTCTGCGTTACGAGACACTTTGCGAATGATTAGTCCAAGCTTTCCAAGAGAGCCATGCTTCGGCACGAATGGGTCGGCTCGACCGGAGTGATACCACGGCCTCGCAGAAAACCGGCGTGAAACAACCGGTGAGTGAGTGAGTGAGGTTACCGGAGGCCCAATCCGTCTCCTCCCCCAATCCCTCCTCCATCCCTAAATCTCCAAATCCCTATTCCCTAAAAGGTCGGCAACGCACTCGTAACTCCTCCGTTGCGGGTGTGAAATTTGGTACAGACATAGTTTGGAACTCGAGAAAGGACATAGGATAGATTTTTATACTAAAAATCAGCAGGAAGTAACTTTTCCACGCGAATAAAGTCGCGGGCAAAAGCTAGTGATTTTATATATGTATGAAGATTTGTTATTATGTATTTTGTGTTGAAAGAGATAAAAATTGCTAATGTTTATCTTTTTCAATATATAGTGTAGGTAATTAGGATGAAAGCCGTCTTTGAAAAAAAAGTTAATTCAGGCGGATAAGTCGTTATTTTCAATACATTATACTATGTAGTTAAATAACAACCGTTTGAAAATAGTATATGTCAGTATAGTCGGGTACTTTACAACTAAACAAATTGAAAACTTTTTTTGCCATTATCAATGTCGATTGTGTATTGGATTGTGTATTGTTTTTTCGTGTCAAACAGCATATACCTATTTCTGTAAAACCGGGTAGAAAAATACGAATATTATATTAATAGAAAAAACCTATAAATGAAAGTGTAAATATTTTGTGCATTGATTAGTCGAAAAAAAAAAACATTTTATTTTCTTATCAGATTCTTCATCTAACCGTCGCGTTATGAAAGACGCTTTCTGATTTTTCCCACTAAAAAAAAAATTGTCATAAAATATACACTATTTTTTCCTTGGAATGATCAATTTTCGTCAGTGGAAGACTAACTTGCAGCTAATTACAATTTTAACTACAAGATTTAAGATGTATTGTCTTCTTATGCATGGTAATGATACGCTCCGGTTTCCCTGTAGCCAGTGCCGATTATTCGAGGGTCGTTAGAAATTACCGGTACATGTAAAAGCTAACTTTTCGCGGGACCGGCTACCCAGAACGGAGAACGTGTAAATTCAATACCTATCAGCATTTTAAGTACTATAAAATATTATGTCGAAATTAAGAAATTTGCAATTTTAAGTTTAATAATTATAATGCGACTAGTTAGTCTATAAAAAATTTAGTTGTAGAAGAATTTGCTTAAAATGAATAAGCACGATATATATCTTAAATAAAATAATAGTGATTGACGACTGATTTCAGACCAAAATGATGTCGATTTTTGAGATTTAAAAATTGATTTTTAAAGGTAATAGACTAAAATTCAAACCGCAATTCGACATTGCCATTTGAAAATGAACTACAACACTTAACAAATAAAGTAAAATTTAGCATAAGCGTCGTCATCAAGTTGGTCTGTATGGAATCTAAACAAACAAAAACCGTCTCTATTACACAAAAGGTAAAGACGCAATTGAAACGCATTCTAACTACTACAGATAACAATTCAAGCTGACTTATTAATAAATAAGGGTCACTACGTCAATAAACTTACGACTAACAACTAAAAAAACAATGCTCAAGTAGAAAACAAATTTTGAACCAATTTGAAATTTAAATAAAGGAACTTGAGTATAGTTTTGAGTGAAACGAACAACATATAAATTGCATACAATATGGTACGTGCAACAATAAAGGCACATCGAGCGTTGTACTGTAACATGCGACCACAGATTGAACAATAAATGGAGTGCGAACTTTTTAAATTTTGTCGATAATTTATATAGTGGTAAATACCAATGCACATGACATGTAAAGAGACTCAGAAAAGTGACATGTAGTTGAGCACTCCATTTCTTGATAATCTGTGACATTGTTTTGTGTATGAACGAAGAATTAAAAAAAAATCTGATTCATATTTCTGTACCTAGCGTGTACAAGTAAATCTCAAAATCAACAAGTCTTTTAATAACGCATATTCCAAAAACTTTTTGGAAACTTAAGCTTTTAGTTGCTTTACTTTTGACAGGACTAAATGCGACACTAGCGCCATCTATTGAGCGCAAAACCGTCAAAATCATTTTGAATGTCAATATTTTTTTCTAGGATGAATACCGGATTTACTAATTATATGAGTTTCTCGATACAGAAATATGAACATATCGTTGCATGGGGTGACCATGCAGTGTAGTCTATAGAGCAATGGAGGTCTATTAAGGTATGGGGTATATTATGTCTTGGCGAACAGACCTGCGGCGCGGAGAGCGGGCTCGGGCGCATGCGCGAGGCGGACCAATGAGCGCGGGCCCTCCAGTACCCACACCTCGTCCTTGTGCACCGATACTGAGAGGATCCTATGGGAACAATACGACTTTAGATATAGCTAAAATTTTTAAAGAATTATTATATCATTTACGACACTTTTAAGATTGCCAATAGAATATTAAAATATATTGTAAACTAAGAATAAAGACCGTTGATACAATATTAGAAATGAATAGATGCACTTTTTGGTAGCATTAGTATAACCTTTCTTACCAATAGTACATAACATGAGGTAAGATCATATTCCCAAAACCAAACTATATCTGACTTGGCTTTTTTAGGAACATCATCAAATGACTTCTCTCTCACAATGTGAGTCGAGAGTGAGTGTTGGACTCTTACTGTCTAAAACCAAAGTTCCATCTCCAACTTTTTGCCGAAGCCGCGGTATCTTATCGCGCTTGCCCCGCAACCCCGGCTGAATAATATCACTTGGATAAGGTGAGGTTTTATTTGCTTTGCAAGGTGTAACGATAGTTAGGATCCTTTGCGTGATCGACAAAATACTGTTTCGGATTTGGGTGCAAAATACTTATTGTTTAAAACCTATTGTTAACACTTCTCTGCATCACCCGTGAGGTTGACTGGTAGAGAATGCCTTCGGGCTTTAAGTCCGCCTTTGTATGTACATAAAGTGTTAAAATAAAATAAATAAAATAATACACCTAGTAAAAACTAAAATACAAGTGTGGAAGAGCCATGGCCATGGCCACGGCCTTACAGAAAATCGGCTTGAAACAACCACTGCGTTGCATTTCGCCGTATAAGTGAGGTTACAGAAGGCCCAATCCTTCCCCTCCTCCAATCCCCAAAAGGTCGCCAACGCACTCTTAAACTCCTCCGCTGTTGCGAGTGTCCATGGGCGGCGTTGATTGCTTTCCATCGGGTAATCAGTTTGATAGTTTGACGAACTATCACACAAACAAATAGAAATCTTTAATGAAAAGCAATGATTAATAACAAAAAAAATAATTCTTACTTTCTAAAGTCATCGACTACAGCGACGGCGGTGAGCGAGCGAGGGTCCAGTATGTAGAGGAGCTGGTCATTGTGGGAGACGAGGAAATGTTCCCTAAACACGTGCAGCGGACCGAGGTTGTACTCGCGACCGTTCGGTGACGGCTTCTGTTGCCGGGGGTTCAGTAACTCGGCCACTGTCAACGGATTCGATATGGCTTCCTGGAAAGTACAAAATACAGGATTCATAAAGGAGTCTTATACATTTGAATGTGAATTAGTATAACCGGCGTGAAACAACCACAGCGTTGTCTTTCGCCGTGTGAGTGTAGTTACCGGAGGCCCAATCCTTCCCCTCCCCTGATCCCTTCCCAATCCCTAAATCTCCAAAACCCTAATTCCTCAAAGGTCGGCAACGCACTCGTAACTCCTCCGTTGCGGGTGTCCATGGGCGGCGCTGATTGCTTACCAACAGGTAATCCGTCAAAAAAAAAAAACAAAAGTTGGATGCGCAACGTCCATGAATGAGGGTCCTGTTGTGACTTGAAACTAGTAGAGAGCTTTTCTCAGTTTACTCACGCGAGTAAGTCGTTATCTTCAATAAACAAAGTACGTCGTACGATAGTTACTATTAAAAAATATTATGAATGGATGTTACTGTTTTACGCAAAAACTACCAAATGTTATTGATGAAAATTGGCGCAATCATGGATTAACTCAGAAGCATCTTCGTATCTATGTAATGAAATTAATTTATTTATAAAATAGACGATAATCTATACTGTAGTACTATAAAACTCAAGAGTTTGTTTGAACGCGCTTTATCTCCGGAACTATGGTTGGAATTGACCAATTGTTTTTGTTTTTGTAAGTCCATTCGTCGAAGAAGGCCATAAAACATCACGTTACGATATGTATGAAACCGCGGGACAGAAGCTAGTGTAACAATAAAATATTGGTAAAAGTGTGAGCACTGACCTTGAAGAGTAATGTCTGCAGTACGTTGCCCTGGGTGTCGGCGCGCCACAGTCGCAGGCCGGGCCGCGCGCAGTATGCCGCGACGGGCCCGCCGCGCGCGTACGAGTACTGGAACACCGCGCCCAGGGCGCACAGGCTGCAAACATATTATATACGGGTTCTTCTTCATCATTGCACGCAATATCAAACTTATTTAAATAGTATTTGTTAAATATTTATCAAATAGTGTTTCATCCGACCTGAACTTATCAAATATAATTTTACTTAATTGAAAGAAAACAATATTTTGTTCACTTAATAATTCATCTGATCTTTCTCTGCATTGAGGGCATAATTAAAGACATATTTGGTCCATGCAAGTAGCGCATAGCAAATAGCGCAAAAGCTGCGCAAAAAATATTTTTAAAATTGCGCAAATCATATTCAGTCTCTGATCAAAAATTCTCAAAAACAAGACACAGACGAAAAAACAAGGGACAAGTTCTCAAATTCGAAAATTCCCATAAGTCTAGAAATGCGCTTATTACGACATTCGACTATTTAAATAGACACCCCGATCCATAGTACTATCAACATTAATTTTCTCTTCTAACCCCTTTAGGTAATAATAGACTGGACGTCAAGTAACACTTATTATTTTCCACAAATGCTCACCTCTTGCGTTCCTTCTTGCCCAGCTGGTTGACGTGCCAGCGGCCGTCCCGCCGCTCGCAGACGATGGTCCGGTACATGCTGGACACGAGCAAACTGTTCTGATAGTAACTCATCTGCACTATCTCATGTTCCTCGTTCACTATCTCCATTGATTTACACAGGTGCTGTAACAAACGTGCAGAGATTAGAATACAACGTTATTCCATCGTTTTAATGTCGACTGATATATTTCATCGTATGGCCTAAATTCGGCTGCTATAAGTAGAACTTAAACGGTTTTGTAATAACAAAACAAGATTTATCTTTAGGAGGCTAGGTTTAAGCCAAGCTTCATCACGAATGAGTCAGCTCGAACGGCGAATACCACGGCCTCACAGAAACCCGGTGTGAAACAACCAAAGCGTTGAGTTTCGCCGTGTCAGTGAGGTTACCAGAGGCCCAATCCGTCCCTCCCTAATAAATAGACAACAATGACAACGGCGTCACAACTTCTCCATCGCGGAAGTGAAATTTGCGCTTGATTGAACACCGATAGCAAATCCCAAAGTAGGGTTGATGAGCAGTAGACCGCCAGGATCATCTTGCCTAGTGCCTTAAACTCTGTTCCTTAAATTACAAAGGCAAAACGTTTATTTGAACGCGCTACACTCCGAGACTGCTCGTAATTAAACAATTTTTTTTAGATAATCCGTTTGTCGAGGAAGGCTGTAAAACATAACGCAGAGACTAATAGGGACAAAGGAACTGGAGTAGCTTGCTTGAAAAAAATTACTACTTAAATAAAACTACTGATATTTGGGAAGCTAAGTTTGAAAAAGGTCTAACATTTACACGCAAAATTACAATAACTGCTAAATTTAAAACTTTCACCTTCCATTTTTGTACAAAATATTGCAACTTGCTATAACAGTATGTGAAGCACATAAAAATATAAAGTATAGCCTAAAAACCGTGACCCAAAAATGCGATCTTACCAGAGTAACCTTGCTCAGAGCATTGGCCACAATTGGCCGTGATATTATCATCATTTCCGTCATTTATTACATCGAATACAATTATAAATTACTGTAGACGATAAAATATATTTCATGATTGTTATACTGTCAATCTTCCGCGACTTTAAGAAAAGTTTAATTCTAGAAATAAAAAATATTAAAATTTTCACATCCCTAAAAAGCCAACGCGCTGTTAACTGCAGTGCAGTGAGGGCGCTGCAGTGCGCACGTAAACAAGTAGCTCCGCGTAATTATTGACAAAAAAATAGATAAAACTCATTAATCCACGTGAAAGGTGTATAAAAACTTAACTCTAATTAGACTTTACGCAACAAGTGAAAATACATCATCTTTCCGACTAAATAAACGAAACAGAATGAAAAAGTTATAAATTGTGTCAGTGCTAACGGTTTTTGTTTTTAAAAATCAAGCTTTCAACTAGAAGAAAATTCAACACCGTGAGTGCGCAAAACCTATTTCTACTGCACTATAAACATCCTAAAAGGTAGGAAACCATATGCATATTCCTTAAGCAACAGCAAACACCAATATACAAAATTACAAATCACCGCTATTAACGACTACTAGCGTCATCTAGCGACAAGTAGCGAAACCACCTAGAAAACAATAAATTAAAAATTGATTGAAAAGTTTCTTCGTTAGAGGGCGTTACCTATACAATAAAACATTTGAAATGGCACAAAAAAATTGTTCTGGATGTCAGCAGAACATAACTGACATTAAAAATATTAGTTGTTATATATGCAAGGAGAGCTACGATTTACTATGCGCCAATATCTCAAAGGATACATTCTACAACATGCCAGAGAAGACAAAAAGCTCATGGAAATGCCATTTATGTCGCTGCAAAACACCCAAAACTGGTAATATAAATACACCTATTCGTCAACAAATAAATATTATCACTTCGCCAACAGAAAACTCAACAATACAGAACATCACTTTAAGAAAAAAAACAACTACCCTAAAAGATGACACCATAGATGACTTGAGTATGTTAGGTGACACATTCTATCCGGAAGAAAAGGAGCCAGGTGCGGGCGATAAACTGGTTACGATTTCATTAAAAAACTTAAGCGAGATGATAAAATTAAGTGTCCAGGAAAATAACAAATACGTCCTATCAGAAATGAAACACACAATAGAAATAGAAATAAATAAATCTGTAATGAAACTACTGGAAGATATCGAAATGAAGATAAATTCGTCACAGAACCAGAGCGATTCTAAAACCCTGGAAATACAAACCATAAACAATAAAATTGAAACTCTAAGTAAAGAAACTCAAAACTTAAAAACAGAAATAAATAACCTGATAAAGCTACAAAAGACTCCTAGGTTCGAATGCAACGAAAATATATTGAAAAAATTCGTAATATATGGATTTCCTGAAAACCACGAAGAACCAGAACATGAATTGCATAGGAGATTGGTTGACGTATTTTATGAAACTCTGCAAGTCGATCTGACCGGGTATATCGAAGAAACATATAGAATCGGAAGAAGTACATTAAAAAACAGACCTCTGGTTATTGAGCTTATAAGCAAAAATATGACTAAGTACATAATACAGAACAATAGGTACCTTCAGGGCACTGGTATCTATGTGTCTAAGTTTTTAAACGAAAATGAACGGAAAGACCGACAGCTACTCCAGGAAGAAATGCTAAAAGCACGAAGGAACGGCCAACATGCAAAAATTAGAAACAATCAGTTATATATAAACGGAGAACTGCAAGAAACACAATCAAATACGTCTAGCACCACCATAACAAACAATAATACATATAAAGAAACGGAAAAAAATATCGGTATCCCTACCTCAAGTCAACACTATTCGCTAAACTTTAATACGAGTCGCAACAATATCGGAGATGCTTCGTACAATAATACTTTTCGAAACTACAGAAGAACATTTTAAGATTTTATTCCAAAATATACAAAGTTTATACAACAAACAACACCTTTTGGAGGCCTTTGTCCAGGAAAACCCAATGTACAATGTAATATGTCTATGTGAGACATGGCTGTCACAAGAAAAATTAGAAAACCTAAATATCGAACATTATAAAATAGCGGCCTCATATTGCCGACAATCCCGAGGAGGCGGCGGCGTGTGTATCATAGTACAGGAACAAATAGAATTTATAGAAGTTAGTGATATTACAAATATGTCAATAGAATATTGTATAGAAACATGTGCAATTGAAATACCTAGGGATAAACTATTAATTATTACTATATATTGGAATAGGAAAGAGGAAGAATTATTTATACTTAAGCTAAAACAAATATTGTTATTTATATATAAAAAGTACTTAAAATATTACATAATAATTGGAGGAGATTTAAATGTAAATGTTTTACTAAATAATGTTAAAGCTAGCTCACTACTTGATCTCATGTTAGAATATAAGTTTAGACAACGAATAAAATCCCCAACACGCATTACCCAAACCAGCTCAACATGCCTAGATTTAATATTCACAAATTTTGACACAACAAATAATTATGTAACTGTCGAAGAATTAGGTTTCTCAGACCACAGCGCCACTGTCCTACATATGAAACTACATAAAAATTGCATCACTCAACCTATGGTATGGTACACTAAAAAACGGTTATTTAATTCTGATAACATACAACATTTTAAAACTGAATTAAAAAAGTTGAATTGGGCTAATATACTTATACCAAAGAATAACTTAAACGAAAATTATCAAATATTTAACGATATACTGGAAACTATTTTAAATTCATGTATACCGCAAAAACTCGTAAAAATTAAAACAAAATTCAATAAGTACTGGCTCACAAAAGGCATTAAGTTATCGTGCAAACATAAAAGACTACTAAAAGTTTTAACACAAAAAATAAACGACCCTATCCTTACAAAACATTATAAACAATATGAAAAAACCTTGAAAAAATGTGTAGTTACCGCAAAGAAAATACAATATACAAACAAAATAAATAAATCAACAAACAAAATTAAAACAATGTGGAGTGTCATAAACGAAAGAACCAATAAAAAAATTAAAAAAGACAAATCTAATCTGAAATTAGTAGTAAACGGAACCGGCATTACAGACCCCAAACAAATAGCTACCCTCTTTAATAACTTTTTTGCATCCATCGGTGAAAATACCCGACCTACAGGAAAAGAAGCAACAGGTGACCCCGTGGTTTGCCCAGCAGATAAAACAATGTTTCTAAGCCCCGTTTATCCATACGAAATAAACAAAACAATAAAAAACCTAAAAAGTAAAATGAGTTTCGGCATTGATGAACTGCCCCCTTCTCTTCTAAAACAATGCGCAGACGAACTCACCTTACCATTTCACATATTGGTCAACCAGTCATTCGAAGAAGGTACCTTCCCACACCTACTGAAAAAATCATTGATTAAACCTATTCATAAAAAAAACTCGAAACTTGACCCTAATAACTATCGACCCATAGCTTTGTTACCGACTGCTTCTAAAATTTTCGAAAGGATAATGTGCGACAGAGTCTATTCATTTTGCGAAAAATTTAAACTCCTAGACGACAGCCAAAACGGTTTTCGTAAAAATAGATCCACAACACTTGCAGTCTATAAATATGTTCAAGAAGCTCTCAGCATAATTAACAAGAAAAGGTATGCCGTAGGTATACTACTCGATATGACGAAGGCATACGATAAAGTGAAATTCAACATATTACTGAATAAATTGTACGGTTTAGGAATACGAGGCAAGGCTCACGATTGGTTTGCGTCATACTTGCAGGGTCGTACACAATTAGTAGAAATTGAATATTTTAATAACCACACTAGAGAAATAGAAAAAGTAAGATCCGACGATAAACAAATAACTGCGTCTATCCCTCAAGGAAGTGTTATAGGCTGCCTGCTTTTCCTCATTTACATAAATGACCTGCCAAAGTCTATAAATGGACCTTGTGTATTATTCGCGGATGACATCTCATTACTCGCCCAATGCCAAAACGACGTAAACATAAATGACAACCTGTGCCCCCTCCTATCTCAAGTAAATGACTGGATGTATAACCATAACCTAGAAATAAATTACACAATAAAAAAATTATTATTAAAAAAACAAAATACCCGACTGCACACTAAAAAAAGAGTAAAACAAGCCCCACAATACAAATTTACTGAATATAATTTATAAATGTTGATGGAAAGCATCGCAGGCGGGGACCAACAGAGGCTTATTTATAGTCATTTCTGTTGTGCACCATTTAGCAGAATTTTCGTTGGTGGCGGTCAAGGTGGTCCCCGCCTGCGATGCTTTCCATCAACATTTATAAATTATATTCAGTAAATTTGTATTGTGGGGCTTGTTTTACTCTTTTTTTAGTGTGCAGTCGGGTATTTTGTTTTTTTAATAATAATTTTTTTATTTATAACTTTTTAGCTGTTTTTTTAAAGGGAAATTTAGAAAAAATATTATTATGTCTTTATCCCGTGGGACTTTTAGGATAAAATGTATCCTATGACACTCCCGTAATCAAGACAAATCTAACGATACCTCATACATCAAAATCCATCAAGCCGTTTAGGCTACAGGAGGTCACAAAGGAAAAGACATACATACATACTTACATACACTCGAAAAACATTACCCTCCTTCTTTGGCAGTCGGGTAAAAACTAAAATAATAACTTTCCATCCTCGTCAAAAACCCGCCCTAAACATAAACCTAAATTTCAGAGGTATAAATCTTGAACAAGTAAACGACTTTACACTTCTCGGATTAAAAATCGACACACATTTAAACTGGAAGGCTCATGTCCAAAAAATAAAAGCAAAGCTCTCAAAATTCTCCTACGCCTTACGCGAAATCAAAAAGACGACCAACATAGAAACTGCTCTCACAACTTACTATGCGTACGCACAAGCATGGCTTAGCTATGGTATTATTTTGTGGGGCAACAGTACGGATTCACATACAGTTTTTACGCTGCAGAAAAAACTAATCCGGGTAATAGCAAATATTGAACAAACGGATAGCTGCAGACCATATTTTCACAAATATAAAATACTTACCCTGACCTGCCTTTACATCTTAGAGACATGTAAATTTGTTCGACAACATCCAGACTTCTACACTACCCGAGAACAAACACAAAGTAAATACACATTGCGCCACAAAAACAGACTGAACCTACCCCCATCCCGACTTAAAATGTATCATTCCGGCCCCCTAGTAATGTCCATAAAAATATATAATAAACTGCCAAAAGAAATTGTAGAAATAGAAAAAAACAGTGTATTTATAGTAAGACTAAAAAAATATTTAATTGAAAGATGTTATTATACCTTGAAAGATTTCTTTGATGAAACGAATGAATGATGTCATAATTTAATTAGTATGAAAGTACAAATACAATAATAATTTTAGGTATATCACAAGAAGATTATTTTCAAAAATACTGTAAAGTTACATATACATATACCTCTCTAATGAATAAGATGTTTTACGTTACGAAGTTATAGATTAAAAACATTTTTATTATTATTAATTTAATTTACCTAATTTCCTAATTTAAATTAAGTTCATAAATTTATTTTATTTCCTAATTTAATTTAATTTTAAAATATATTTGAACTTTATAATTTCATAATATAAGTTAAATTTTGTTATTTTGTCATATAAGTTGATTTTATTATTTTGTAATGTAAGTTAACTTTATTATTTTGTAATTTGCTGTGCCCGACAGGGTCCATAATGATCTTAATACTGATACACATATAATAACACCTAATGTAACATTATGGAATGCAATAAACATTTGAATTTGAATTTGATAACTTAAGTGTTTTTGAGCGACGGCGATTGAACTTGTAGAATTGTAGTACAGGTCACTATACTTATAATAAGTAACTCTGCGTGTTCCACAAATTGTTGTTCCGAGTCTGGTAGTGATGTGTTTGTGAAAAAAACTTATGTATATTACACGCACCCACGACACAGGAGAAAATCTTAGTACCTGTGGGGTACAAATATTTCAACATCTAAACAAATATTTCAAATTCTTGAGTCGATTAGCAGGGCTTTGATTTGACTTTTTAATACATATATGTATGGTAAGCAATTAGCACTGCCGGTGGCGCTACGAGTGCGTTACCGGCCTTTTAGGGTTTATGGTTTCGGGAATTTAGGTATTGGGAAAGAGGAAGAAGGATGGACCTCCGGTAACCTCACTCACACGGCGAAAGTCGGCGAAACACAACGCTGTGGTTGTTTCAGGTCGGTTTTCTGTTAGGCTGTGGTATCACCCGGTCGAGCTGACCCATTCCTATTGAATGGCTCAGATTTTCTTACATGCCTCATAATTTTAACACAGATCCTGGAATTGTGCCTGGTTTTAATCAAAATTGTCAACCTACGAGTAGTACTAAACACTTAGTCTTAGACAAGACTCCAGGGTTGTGTAGAGTAATAAACAAAACATTATGATGATGCATGTTAACTCATGTGGAAATAATAGTTGTATGTGTGGGTGGGTTTGTTTAACCACTTGATTACTAGTAATTGTTGTTCATTTAAACAATTATGGATTATGTGCACTTATTCCGTTCATGTATATATATTGGAAATCAGCTAATACAATATTTTTAAAGCTTCTCAATAACAGAAGGAAGTCTGGTACTGCTAACACAACATAAGTGGTGTAAATTGGTTGTATATAAGCCTCTTCTACTTGTTATATTATCATAATTCCTTTGTAAATAAGTATAAAATATAATGATAACACATGTCTGTACATCCTACTTATATAATAAACGTCAAAATTTGTGAGTATGTATGTGTATTGGATTGTTGTTAGTCGTTTATTTATTTTATAAACTACTAGCAACTCTCGCGCGGTTTCACCCTCTGCTCGGCTCCATTTAATTGTAGCGTGATGTTTTATAGCCCTATTATAGCACTCAGGAACATTGTAGAAAGAATTTTGGCAAACCAACCAGCGGTTCCAATGTTACCCCCTACATACAAACTTACAAATTTTACCTTTTTATAATATTAGTATAGAAGTATAGATATAGATTAAAAAGATTTTAATGAAAATTGCCACAGATGTAGATAATACATAGAATTTTTTACTCTTGTACTACCAACGAAGGTACTGACAGAAGCTAATACAACATAAAACTTACCATATAGAAGTCTATTTCAGTCATAATAATGACGCCGTTTTTGTCGCCAGAAAACAGTCTCATTCCGTTCTTGGACCACTCTATCGCTGTTATTTTACTTTTGTGTAAATCTCCTATCGTGTATCTGGAAATGTAAAGAATTATATATTAATTACTATCTAGATTAAGTAATATTATGGTTTTAAAAAGCTAGTTTGTGTGGATGTATTTATGTACACATACATTTAGCATAGACATGGATTACGGTCTGGAGTAACACATCAATCAAAAAGGTTCATGCAGTATTAATATAATGGAGAAATAAACGCTAAGCTACAAAAAGACATATTTTAAAATTATATTAAGATTTTTGAAAAATAGAATGCGATTAATTTTAGGCACCAATACGCGTATATTACTCTGTGAAGTGAATTTTTCCCACTATATTTTGAAGCAGGTACCATTAACATATTGAGCTTAAATGTTGTATACACATTTGTATCGTTATTTGACTTTTAACTAAATTCCTACAGTGTTTAGCCTAAGGACATATGGACCAAACTGGCAAAAGCTTGTTTTTAATATTTATTTTTTAACCACTACCCTAACAATTTCATGAAATAAACATCGTAACATGGATCAGGGGAACATTTTAGAGCAGATTATGTAAACAATTGTGGAAGGTTGTGGTCACCGATAGGTCAGCTTTACACGACCACAACATAATAATATACTTTGACAATAAACCAACAAAGTAAGCCGTACAATACATTACAACTTACATTTGAAAAATAACTATTGGCCTTTGTATTTAGGAAAGAAATAGAAGGAAGGTCTGAAATACCACTAAAGAGTGGAGATAAGAGATCCACAGTCAACAATAACCGTTTTGTTAACATAGAGATACTTGGGTACAACACAAATTCTAATACGTAATATTAGGAGCAGTACGAAAACGAAACCAATGATATGTTGCACCAATCACATACTGTAAATGAAGCCTACCTGGCAAACTTTTTTAATTAATTTTCAACTTTAACACATATTGAAAAAGGTTGAAGGTATATTAACTAAGCAAAGATTGGATGAACTTGGTCTCCTTTTTACACAATGTCTTGAAACTATGTATTAGATAACAAATAATATAATAATGTTAATAAAGTTATCATAAAATATCTATTTAAGTTCATGGCTACAGCTTTGTAATTAATTTAGAATAATAATTATTTTATTATTGATATGACTGATAGTAAGATACTATTTGCAGTTTCTATATTTACTAACCAAATACACAATGTTATCAAAGTCTGTTTGTTGCTATCTCAAAACTGCCAAACAACTTTTGATTAAGTTTTATTAAACTTGTGTTACTGAATAGACTATTACAATTGCATCTGACCTATGGTGCTATATTCCAGTAACATTTTTTTTGTCCAATTAATTATTAAAATATTTATGCCACAATAACTTTAATAATTATTACTTTTAAATTCGAGAATTTTATTTACCTATAGTCATTTGGATAATATGTACTTGACTTAATGTTTGTTTAAAAATAAGTATAAAAACATTTATAAGTCACTCACCTTTCAACTTTTGGTTCAACCTTAGGTTTGAAGGTGTCAGGTACATTCTCTGGGTGCTCCTTGGGTATTTGGAATACATTGACCTGGCCGGCTGCATTGCCTGCACCCACCATGTAATCAACTGTGCTTACTATCTTCACATAAGTTATGGGAGATGTTGACGCCTAAAAAGTAACAAAAAAATATTAATTCTCATAAAAAGGAATAGAAAAATATCATTTTTCTATTCCTTTTTTCCGAACTATGAGCACAATTTTGTTTGTTTTTTTTACTTATGGTTATGTAACTTTTTTTAATACTCTCTGTTTTTTGTGCCAAAGTAAAAAGGTTTTATCACAATCTATTAGTAATGTTTATCAGGAATTGTGAACATGTAAAATCAATATTGGTCTAATAGTTTTAGATTAATGATGTGATATGAAAAGAAAATACAATACTATCAATTACAAGGACTTTATACCATACTATTTGTAATGGGTATAACTGCCTGTCTATCTATAGACTTAAATATGAATGTTCAGAATTCAAATAATTATAGGGAGAATAAAAAGGTCCTGGAGGTTAAGGTGCCTGTTTCTCATACATGAGGGAGCACTTTCTTTGGGCTTTGTCTGAGTTAAATGAACTTTCTAACAATATTTAGGCACAGCTGACAAAGGAAACATTGTGATGAAACCAATAAAATCAAATTTCTGAAAAGCAAATGTGGTGATAAATTTTCAAACTTCTCCATTTGAGAAGAAGCCTTTGCTGAGCAGAGCAAGAAATATTGAATAAAATATAGAAAACAAAATTACAAAAAGAAATTTTTATTTCCAATTAGTCATACAAAAACAGGAAAGATAACTGTATTTATCTACACAATTAAATTGTGTCTACAAAGAAATCTAAATAGGTGTTATCAGGCAGTTTGTTTCTGTTATCTTTACATACACGTTCTCAGTCCACTGCACTTTAGTGATGAATTAAAAATGTATATCTCATTTCACTTTTATTTAACTCTATACTCATTTCAATTTTATATAATTATATACTCATTTCAATTTTATATAATTATATACTCATTTCAAATTGATTTAATTCAACATAATTTATTAACTTAAATGTAAATATGGTCAAATTAAAAAAGCAACAGTATTCTCAGCTCAAGGTGCTGAATTGTTAATAAACTTGAGTATAAACTTATAAAGAAGAAAGTCTCTAAAAGTTTTGATTTGCTGCAATTTTTAGCAATATTTGGCTTTATGACACAGCTTATAGTTATGTTAGACAAGTTTAAAAACAGCAATGCTTAATATTCTGTTACAAATGTAAATCTATCAATCAGTAACTTTTATGTGGCATGATATTGGACAATTGAGTTATTGGTGAAAACAGTAATGGACTGTCTATTTAAAAGAATAAAAACAAATGAATTAAGGTCAGTAAGTTAATAATTATTAGGTAAAGGTCAAGGGTTATTGGCTAGCTGCCTATTATAAAGTTAAGGTCAGGGTAAAGTTGTCACATCAATAATTACTCCAGTAAACCTTCCTTTGCGATATTTTAATAGATAAAGACCAGTGAACCTTTTATATAATCAGATTTAGGGTGGAGAGACTGATAAGAACTATCTGGCCAAAATGAAATCAGAGAAATTCTTCCAAGATGTTCCCTTTAATATGAAGTGCATCTTTAAAAAACTTTCTAAACAAGTTCTTGTGTATTGCATTCTAAAAAATCATTGTTGTTAGGAATAATTATTTAGATTTATGGGTAAATCAAATTTATTTTAGTCTACCCACACAAATAATAATCCATATCCGTAGAAATCGTGAATTACAGCTGATGTAGAGTACGTGCAAGGTCCCAATTAAGGCATTGTGGGGAAACCCCGTCCCTGACACACAGCACTCTCTCTTACCTCACAACGCAGTCTTTGAATGTTCCCTTTCTTCCGATCGTACCAATACACCAGCCCAACATTGGTCCCCAGGGCTATGTACTCGCTCACCGCGTCCACACATGTTAGGCACAACTCGTTGGAAAATATCCCAGTCTGTATCCTAGGCGGAATTAAATTTAAAATATGTGAACAAGGGGCCCATTCTCTCACGAAACCTTCCTCTGCACCACCAGAAACTTCCATTTTAATTTATCAAATAGCACGTTTTATGATATACAATGTAAAGTAAAAATATTAAAGCACAAATGCATGACAATTTGGAAATAAATAATTTATTATTCGCGAAAACCTAAAAAACTAAATTCTTGTTTGACTTATTTTGATTTGACATATGGAAAAGGAGAATGGAATGTTGAATGTTGTACCAACTTTGACGAAATAAAAGTAAATCAAAATAAAAAAGGTTATTAAAATTTAGAGAACATCTTAAAAATTATGATGTTCTAGAAATTACAAAATTATATATAGTTTTTGAATATTTGTGAAAGTTTATTAATTAAACATAGAAAATTCATGTTTACCGATTATTGAGGATGAGATCTACTCTAAATTCCTGTTTGTCATTGGCCAACATTACAAAACCAACTGTACACTTGTCATTTTCTTGTCAAACTTGGTCCGTAGTGCGAAAGCCATCTCGCCACGCATTTCGGCAAATAATTTATACGAAATGGCAGAATCAGCGACGGAGAACCTTATAAACATTGAAGAAGCAGTTAAGGAAACCGTAAAAAATGTTACAGACAAGCCACCGACAAGTATTGAAGGTATTGCGATTGCATACCTGAGTTTAGTGATTATGGCTGTATTACCGATATTCTTCGGAGCTTTTCGATCAGTAAAATACCTGAAAGAGCAAAAGGTAAGTCTGATTGTACTGGCTTGATGTTAATACGTAATTTTATTTCATAGTTATGAGAATTGGTTGAGCCCAATAAGAAAGATACACGTTCTACCATCGTGGCATATGTTGCTGTCAAATGTTAGAAGACCTTGCAAATATAATAAATAAATAGATGACAATTAAAGTAAAATAATGTTTTTTGATAAGTACTTGACCTCTAGCCTTGTCTCCGAGTACCTAGTATTGTTATTTATTTACTGGTAAATATCAATAATGTTAATCTACAGTTTAATAAATATAACATCTAAATGTTTTTGCCAAATATCAAGGAAAATATTATTTTCCTTGTTTGTAACATTGTTATTTAGTTTGTACTAAAAACCTGTAATGTAACCTCAATAGAAAACACTATAAGATGTTGTTTTACTAAATATAAAATATTATCTTTTCCTTATTTTCCTCATATGTTCATTTAATATTCAGTACCAACACTTCCTTGTGAAATTCTGGTTTTGTTTATTAATACTATTTTAATGAGTAGACTATTAAGGTACTTCTACAATAATTTGATTCCAATTAGTAAATTATTTCAATTGTCAGAAGTAATCAATTTACTATATGAAATTAATATCAATGACATGACTGTGCTTGATTTATGTTGTTACTGACTAATGAAAAAGGGGCACCAGTAAAATCAAATATTATAAACAGAACACTTATCTATCATTTAAGTAGGTAATTGCTGTAATTACCACTATAACTAGTGCAGTAAGTCATTTTTTATTTTATTTTAGCAACAAATTAATTTTTGGAATAGTGACTATTGTGAGGCATCATATAACATTTATTGATAATAACTATTTACTGATGAATTAACTGAGAAAACTTTACTAGATTCAAGTTAAAATGGGGCTAAAATAAATAATAATATTTTTTTTTAGATCATACAATGTGTGTGTAAAATTGTGGTTTTAGATCTGGGTGTCATATGTATGTTTATGTAAGCACCAATGACACAAGACAAAATCCTAGAGGGGAATAACATAATAGAAGAGAAAATAAGCATGTTACATTATTGTATTATATAAATACTATGTAAATAATTACTGTATTAAGTAACAAATTAACTTTTTGAGTATGGTTAAGTTGTTAGGTACAGTTTAAATAATGTTGTCCCATACTAGTATTTTCTCCTGATGCGTTTACAAACAATACAATTTCGAATACACACCACATCCAGACCCAGACCAACAATTGGTGGATTACTCAAAGCCGAACCTACAACAATTTGCGAGGCAGCCAGTTGCCCAGTCATGTCATGACATTCAGTCATGACATTATGTTTTATATTAAATTGTTAGATTTTACGCCAGATGGGACTGAATTTAGCATCTGTTATGCAAATTAAATTATATTTACGAATCTGTAATAGTATTATAAACATAATTTACAAATTTTGATATGGCTTTTGGCCCAAGTGTTGTACTTGAGCCAAAGGCCATATCAAAATCTGTGTAACTGACCCTTAGCCTTAGCCAGTACATATACATATATATGACTTGTGAGTAATTTTGCTTGTAATCTTTAGACTTTGATTCCTACAGAGATAATTATAATAATATAGTAATGTTATGATAAGGAAACCAGGTACCTAGGCCTTAAGTTTTTGTTTAATGTAGACATTATTTATTTTACATTTCAGAAAAGAAGTATAATTATATATTTTTTGTTAATTCTGTTTCTGTAATGTTTGTTTTTTATTGCAGCATGACCTAAAATAATATAACATAAAAATAAATTATGCTTAGGTTTTATATGCAGCCTCATTGGTTTTATGGTAAAAATTTATTGACTAGCACAGAAATTAAATATTCTATTTCTAATTAACTAGTTCTAGACAATATAAGGTACTCATATATTAAACCATTTTTTTATTTACTGTCTGCAGGAATCTGGCGAGCGACATGAGACAATGTCGAATAAGGATGCGCTGATGTTCCCGCTGATCGCGTCAGCGGCGCTGTTTGGGTTGTACATCTTCTTCCAGTTCTTCTCCAAGGAGTACATCAACCTTCTGCTCACTGGATACTTCTTCTTCCTAGGAGTTCTTGCCTTGAGCCATCTTCTTAGGTAAGAGAATTATTTAATTATTGACCCTATTTAATGTGTTTTTCCAGCTTAGCTTCAATAAACAGCCTATTGATAAAATGGTAGTCCCATATTTCAACATACTTATTCATGGCACTACATGTATTATAACTTTGTGTTTTTAGATTTCTATAGTATTTTCTAATAAGTATATAATATTTTTCTTAGTTGTCTATCATGTCTATAAAAATGAATTAAAATTTGATAACCTGATTTGACAACAATTGCGGATTTTTATCAGTGGACAATCAATAGTCAGGAAACAAGTCCTTCAGATTCCTTGTTTTAACAAAAAGTCTAAGGAACAAAGATACAATACACTAAATGCACATACTGATGCCATATAAGCATACTTGTGCCACTGTAACAAATGCAGGGGTAACAGTAATTGAGACTAGTAGCAGTGATTGAATCAATCCGCAGACATCATATTATCATGAAAATGTATGTTTGAATAGCTTACAAAAGGGTGACTTGAGTGCTTAATATTGTACGTGTGTGTGTATTTCTGATCAAATAGTCTGCAATGTTCCCCGAAAGGTATAACCTAGGTGTGTTCTAAGCCAGCGAATATGTTGCTTATGAGTAAATCGTAAGTCGCATTATCGCTTACCATCAGGGGGCAAAACGCCAGTTCATATAAAAAAAAAACTCGTCGGTTACAATGAAACAAAAAATGAACAGTGCGTACATTATGTAATAATTTCTACGTCATAATCTGTTCTCAAGGTTCACCACAGAATATTGTAAATCAGTATTTAAAGTTGTTTATGTATCTACATTTTTTAAACAACTTATGGTTTGACTATTTTTTTTAATCATTAAAGAAGGCTGCTTGACTGCAATTCCACCCGATGGTAAGCAGTGATGTGATAATCGTTGATGGTAAGGCGCATCAGTTTATTGGTTAATGTAGTTGTTGTGCAACTAATGTGTATTAGGTATTTAATTCTTGGGGTCAGCTTGACTGCCCTAATAATATCCCTCGATCTACATAAAATCATTCTTGTTGTTTAAGCGTGACTTCACTACTGTGTGTCTGCAGCACAGACACACAGTCTTGAGACCCTATGTGTGTTTGTTGCAAACAAACACACATAGGGTCTCTTTTTTTGAGCTTAATCTTCAGTTCGGCAACTTTTTTGCCCCTAATCTGAATTATCTGAAAACTGCTTGGACCTGACGCATACGAAGCGCCGCCTAGCGGCACAATTGAAATGGGTAATACAATAGGTGCTGATATTGATTCCCAAACGAAGTTAGCTTGTATTTTGGGAAACTTATTACATAAGCTATAACTTATGTTCATGTATTGTATTTGTCCCCTTCAGCCCGATAATCTCGTTCATGGTGCCGGCGTGTATCCCGAACGTGTCGTACCACATCCACTTCACGCGCGGCGAGGACGACACGCGCTCCGACATCGTCAACTACAAGTTCACTTCCTACGACATCATCTGTATATTCATCTCACTCGCCATGGGCGGCTGGTACATACTTAAGAAGGTAGATATACATATTATTTTTATTTTATTACAATTTGCTATAATACGTTTCCTATCTGTCTGAGATGGAGGCCTGGAGACCTGCCACACAGGTTATAGTGCAGGCTCCAGTCGCCACAGCATAAAAATCGGAATTCACCTAAAAATGTAGTAGCAATTTGTCTGTTGTCAATGTTGTGGAGAAAATAAACGATATTTATTATTATTATTATTTCATATTCTACTAGCTACTCTCGCGCGATTTCACCCGCTGCACGGCTCCTACAGATCGTAGTGTGATGTTTTATAGCCTTCCTTAATAAATGGGCTATTAAATACAAAAATATTTTTTCAACCAGTAGTTTTTTTATTCAACTAATGAACCTGTTATACTTTAGCACTGGATCGCCAACAACCTGTTCGGCATCGCGTTCGCTGTGAACGGCGTGGAACTGCTTCACTTGAACAACGTGGTCACCGGCTGCATCCTGCTGTGCGGACTGTTCATCTACGACATCTTCTGGGTCTTCGGCACCAACGTCATGGTCACCGTCGCCAAATCCTTCGAAGCTCCCATCAAACGTAAGATTACTTGTTTAAAACTAGCTATTTTCGCACGGTTTCACTCGCGGTTCGGCTACTACAGATCGTAGCGTGATATTTTATAGCCTATAGCCTTGCTCGATAAATTGACTAACGAACACAAAAACAATTGTTTTTCGTACCAGTTGTTCCGGAGATTAGCGCATTCAAACAAACAAACAAACTCTACAGCTTTATAATATTATAGTATATAGTATAGATTTAAAGAGCCATTAGATAGCAAAGCTTTAGATAGCAAACAGCACCTAGCTTCACTAACGAACAGACTGACAGACTACTATTCTATTTTGACGTTTCAAAAGTACCTATTTATGATTTAGTTAGAATAAATGATTTTGACTTTGACAAAATGTACTTAAAAAATAAGTTTTCTTGTTGGCTGGCTCATTATGGCTGGTTGGTCCAGTTCCCGGTGACTATATTATGTAGCTGTATCTACATGATGTGGAAAACTTTTAAATGCTATCTATTTAACATGCGTACTCACATGACGACTCTCAAGGATTTACCAGCTCAATTGTTAAGCAAGGGGAAGTTACTTCTAATTGGGGATATTACGTTTAATATATGCTCCCTCTAAGGAATAAAAAAAAACTTGTTAACTTAGACGTTTCACCAAAGTTGAACCAGTAGCGTGAAATATAATGTCCGTAAGATGCGCGGGCGCAGAAAGGGCCGGATCATTTAAAAAGGGATTTACTGAGTAATAAACATTTGGCTAATAGTAGTTTAGAATGTTATATTTAAAAAGTAGGTAGACAATAGGCAATAAATGAAACAAGTGATAAGACTGAATGTTTCTGTCGCCCCACAGTGGTGTTCCCACAAGACTTGCTGGTGAATGGCCTGGACGCGAGCAACTTCGCGATGTTGGGTCTGGGCGACATCGTGGTGCCCGGCATCTTCATCGCGCTGCTGCTGCGCTTCGACAAGAGCCTCAAGCGAAACAGCGAGTTCTACTTCAGGTATACTTTGACATATAACAAGCCAGCTTTCTTCCTTTTTATTTACTGCTCATGAGTTGAGAACTCCTTACGTCTTCAAAATAAACTTTTCTGAACTATTGAACATTTCCTGCCTAAAAATATATCAAGACCAAAATTGCCCAATCTTAAACAGGTGTTCTCTAGTTTTAGCCAGAAATACTAAGAACAATTAATTTATATGTATAACATTTCATGTAGATTGGAAGTTTGCTATGTAGATCCTATATAACAAACTTCCTACACCACCTACAATGTAAATCATATTATTATATATTTTTATTGAGTGTATTGCTTTTATCCAAACTAGACACTTGGTAGAGGAATTAATAAATAAATAAAAATGTGTTTATTGGCAGACATTTTGAACAAATTAATTGCCAGGGCTTCCCAAAAAGTATGCCGAAGGACCTCGCTCTTCCTCGTTATACGAATGCATGGTTGTGCTAATTATTGTATACACATTTTATAAAATAATAATTAATTTAAAATTTCTCGTCATGACAAGATGTCGGTTCAATGCAAAACGTAGGTCTCACACAATGCCGATATATTGATTCGTTATTCTATTTCAATCTTTTATGTGCATTATACTAGAAATTAGGTATAAAATATTATTATGATTGGCATCTCGGATCGTTTATTATATTGAACACGAATGCATTCGACATGGATGGCCAATTTCCTTGGATATTTTACGTGTTATGAATATTTGTTGCCATGTCGTTTCTTGAATGTTGAATTGATTAATTCTAACAATTATTCGGCTACCATAAGAAAATGAATGCTACAGCTAGTTCAGAACATGTTCTTTATAGAGTGTATCATATTTTTCTAAAAGCTATTTTCAATTAATCATATTATTTTTGTTTAGAGACAAAATTTTGGTATTGTATTGCTTCTTATTGTTCTTTTTTAACTTTGTTCTACACTATTATCCTGTTCTTTGTAGTGGGTCCATTCAAAAACATACAAAATCACATGAACATGCGCTCAAATCAGGAATTGCATGGTTGCGTTGTGTTTCGCTGTGTGAGTGTGGTTACCGGAAGTCCAATCCTTCTCATCCTTTCCTAAAACTTCAATATCCAAAACCCTTACCCCTAAAATGCCAGCAACGCATTCGGTAACTCCCTTGGTGTGGCGTCCATTGGCGGCGTTGATTGCTTACCATCAGGTAATCCTGCTCGTTTGCCGACCTATTCCATAAAAAGTTTATAGTATAGTCACAATAGGTACGTAAATCTAGCTTGCTTCTTGAATCAACCACTGGATTGTCTCTGCATTACCCAAAAGTAGACTGGAAGAGAATGCTCATTGCATTAAGTCCGCCTTATGCACAATTTTGGTTAATAAAAAAAATATAAAAAAGTTATTTGTGTTGTCAGGGCGACGTTCACGGCGTACGTGGTGGGCCTGCTGGCGACGATCCTGGTGATGCACGTGTTCAAGCACGCCCAGCCCGCGCTGCTGTACCTGGTCCCCGCCTGCCTCGCCACGCCGCTCTGTCTCGCGCTACTGCGCGGCGACATCAACGCTCTCTTCAAGTCAGTACCCACTTATACATCTACAACTCATAATAACTTATCTCTCATTGGATTTGGTTACCTATGTGCTCAACCAAATACATATATAGGTTATTGACCTGCAATTTAGACAAATGTGAAGGTGTCTGAAGTGCCTGAGGGGTCAAAAATAAAAAAACTGCAAGATCAAAAAAAGTTAAAAATCATTTATTTCAATTAGACATATAAGTAAATTAATTTTTAAAATTTACGAGTTGGATTATTAAATGTTCATTTATCCACAGCTACGAAGATCAACCGGCGATAATACCGGCCGGTGAGGACACGAGCAAGTCAAAAAAGACTGAATAGACACTGAGTATGCCACGTCCAGAGCACAAACAACAAGCACACCGGTACCGTTTAAGTACATTCATATTTATCACGCGACAATGGCGGGCCATGGCGTGACGTCACCCCCCAATCGTGACCAGGTTTGACGACAGGACCCTTTACAGACCACGCGGTACCCGTGTTGATATCTTCTATTTTAAGTTATTGTCCAATCTCTAAAGTTAACCATGTCATTTATTAACAATCTTTATTTCCTAATATTATGTTTGTAATCGTTACAAAAACGCTTTCAATCCATTGGTAACTTATCAATGTACACGCACCGCGGTCTATAAACGGTCCTGCATCCGTGAAGTCCTATCAATGTACGTAAATGTTGCTATTGTAAAAAATAAATAAATGAAAGGGTAATTTAATTAGACTTCCGTCGTATCTTCCATTGGTATATCGAAGTTTTCAACATAAATGTCTATAAAATATTCAGACGATGACGTCAGGTAAATGTGTAACTAGTAATAATAATATTTATACTTACGCGTCACAAAATATTCGTGTAAATTGTATGTGTTAGGTGTATGAAAGATTGTTAACGTCATACAAACCTAGAGCATTTACTTACATACAAATCATTAAAGTTTATTTTGGAAAAATAAATTGAAGAACAAACAATGTCGTGGAGAGTGCATGGCGCGATGTATTGCGTTGGGTAGTGGGGCGCTCGTCCCCGAGTTTAGCAATCAATTGTAAGAACTGCGAACATTCCAACTACCGCCTGATCTCATCGTCCTTTCACACAACCTATTATAAACTATCAGATCTATGTGTAACATAAAAAAAGTTTAAATTATAGCAACACTGAGACTAAATTAATTTCTATATTTTTATGTTGAATAAAATAATTTTTATACTATATTTCGTTAAGGTATTTTTTTATGAAAAAGAAATAAAATCAATTTTATATGTTATTGTTTTCTGTCGAAGTTAATAATAAGTTTATGTATTAATTACATGCATACCATTTTTAGCTGTTTCAAAAGTTACCGTCGCAAGTACCCGCTGATGGGATTTCAATTTGTTTTCTAAACATAGTTATGTTAAGTACAATAAATATATGATATATAACGTGGTATGTCGCTATTTTCACTTTAGCCATTTCGAGCACATATTTGGGAAATTTTTAGACGTCGAGTAGTTGGTGACAGCATTTCTGGTGAATGAGTACAAACTGTACTTCATAATGAGATTTGTTCCTTTGGCTTCCTAAAGAATGACTTGTAGGAATAACAATATTGCGCACTATGTACTATTTACATAGTTCGTGTAGTTTTGTAGGGAGGGCGAGGACCTAGCAAACATTTTAAATCAGCCTCAAAGGCTGCTAAAAACTTTTTATACCTTTAGGCTGGCGGGGTAGACAGCAATTACAATACCTACATAATATATTGGTAGCTATTATGTACATGTTTCTTTAACACAAAGGTTGTAGTGATGTAAATTTTATTATTTCTTACAACCGAATTTGAAACTTAGTCGCCATTTTTTCAGATTAGTCCCCCACACTGCACTACCCCTAGAAGTTTACAATTTGACACATATTTTGTTTATTACAGAGGTAACATGTATAGATAGATATTTTGAATGTATCATTGTCATTGTGTTTGATGGTACTGTGGAGCGCTGAGCTGTTTATTAAAATGATCAGATCAGTCGACCTGGACTTTTATTTACTACATCATACCCAATGAAATCAATTGTATGTACGATTACTTGACATCTCTTCTCTTTTATTACGCTTTTAATCGACCAACGACCAGCCCCGGCGTCGCACGGTTGCTATGCTACTACTGAATTTTCCCACAATTTAATGGTTGTTGTTATGCATATAAACCTTCCTCTTCAATCACACTATCTATTTGAAAAGTCGCGTCACAATCCATTGCGGAGCTTTAAAGATTTAAGCATACATAGGGGATATATTGACAGAGAAAGCAACGACTTTGTTTTATTAGTGCATTGCTCTTAACTCTTTCTCTAGACTATTTTGTAAGATAAGCATATCAAAGAGTGTGTTGCCGTCATTATTCGGTAGTTGTGAATTTGAAGATTGTAGATTTGTCAAGGTAAATACCTAGGTCAGTAGGTACTAATTAAGGCCATACTACAAATAAAACAAAAATATAAATTTCAATTTCCTAAAAATTGACTGCACGGTTGGTGCGGTGGCTGGGCAACTGGCTGCCGTGCAACGTGTCGCGGGTTCGATTCCCGCACGGAACAACTCTTTGTGTGATCCACAAATTGTTGTTCCGGGTCTGGGTGTTATGTGTATGTGAAATTGTATGTTTGTAAGCGCGCCCACGACACAGGAGAAAATCCTAATGTGGGGCAACGTTTTTTTTTAAAAAAAAAAAAAAAAAAAAAAAAAAAAAAAAAAAAAAATTTCCATTTAATAATATCCTAGAGAATATACTGATACATTTATCGCACTACGACACTGAAAACAGTATAACTATAATATTGTCGATGAAACAGACATACAGTTTTTAAAATTAAAGCTAATAAAAACTTAAATTACCACTATTGGACATTTGGCATAAACTCTGGCGAGTTTAGGATACCATTCTGATTTTATTTAACCAGTCAAATAAATAAGCTTATATACTATCATCCAATGCGGGCCATATTGTTATGTAAAGCCGAAGCTTAGACTAGGTCTAGATCGAGTTTGTTTTTACGTTACGGCGACCAATACGTATATAACGTTTGGCGCTCCGATTGGCTGAGACCAATTTAGCCAACCAATTAGAGGGCTTAACGGGGTGTGAAAACACTCACACTTTGCACTAAGTGCCCAATGCGAGTATTTCAACAATCCGATCGCATAAAGTTAATAAGGATTTGTAAATATCAGCGCGCTTTGAATGCACTGTTCTGGTTCCGTTTAGCGTCATACAAATCCTAGTTAACGCTTAAGCAATCAAATCGCAATAACACCCATGAATAAATTATAGAGAGATATCATGGATAGAGCGGGGAAGCAAAGATTTTAAATATCCTGCGGTTAAAAAGATAGAAGTTTACTGTATCTTTTCATCTTTCTTCTCGCGAATGTATAATTATTTAATTAATTAGAAAAGGGAACAAGTTTGTTTTACATGTTTTGTAGTATTTTCAGGTTTTAAATTTACAGGTAACAAATACATTATGACCTAGTAATAAAATTCATAAAAAGTATAAATTTTCAGATTTCAATAAAATTATTGAACAATTTTGTTAAGGTGGGAAAAAAGCAAAACTTGAAAATACCAAACAGTGAATGACACGAGAGGAATAATATCTTGTTTCTCTTTCTAACCGTCCGCTATTTAATTTATATGCACTTTCTTGCTCTATGCCCGATAAAATATGATAATATGATACATCAAGGTTTGAGAGGTTAAATAATAAAAATAATTTAAATAAAAAGACGTATGAGAAACAGTATTTGCTACGTAAACATTGAGTCAGCAACACTTAATTATTTTTACTAAAAATAAGCAATTTTCTAATGTGGCAATAACAATAAAATATTATGATGGTTATAAAAACATCAATTTTTTGGCAACGACATGACAATAAATACACAACTAATGGCTTTCAGGTAGGTGATATTGAAAGCTCATGAATATATTAACTAAGTTACTTATACAACAGTTTCGCGGGGTTTCAAGCGCAATTATGTCCCGCAGCCCCGGCCCGAACAAGAAGGAGCGGGGTTGAATATAGTGAATAAGTCTGACACTCCCTTACGCCTCAGTTAGGGCAGGAAAAAAATAACTAAGTTCGCTACGTTGTGGGTCGTGTAACTCTGCACCTGGCGTGGCTTAAAACTAGACGACTCAACACACCAAACAGTAACATGAGTTAGCCGTTTAAACAAAATACAGTAAGTTTCTACATAACAATTAATGTATTACGTGTAATGAAAATCACAACTTAATAAAAATATATTATAACGTCGACCTTTCTATTTAGATTTAGAATATGATGCAGTCCACAATAAGCTCTAGTACATCCATTTAAGTATATAGAGAACATAGATTAACGATTGCTAGAACCTATTGCCTATATAAAATGGATTTCTAATTGTATAGGCCTCATATGCCCTGCATACCACAAAAGTTTTATTTATATCTTGGTACAAGTTTGTAGAAAAAGAGATGTATTATTAATATTTTTACAGTGTATATAAACATCACAATCGTGATTTGGTAATACATATAATTAAAATATACGAAATGTTGAATTCTCAACGCAGATCATAATTATAAACCCAGCGTAGCTTGAAACCACTCGAGCATACTCGAATAGTTGCGTAAACCGTATATTAAAATTAATGTTGTATGTCTCAGAAAAGTGTCATACATAAATATGTTTATATTTTTGCTATTGCAAAGTTGTGGTCCGCTGATTATTATTATTTAAACGCATAGAAAGATATATATCACACAAAAATTGCACATAGTCTGTCGTACCAACGAGGCGACAGTGGCGCCACACGAATTAATAAACGTGTGGGCAGTGTTTGAAAATAGTTTAGTTGTCACTGACCATTCAATAAATTTGTTTCTCTTATGCCTACTGAGGGCCTACCATGACGTGCTATTCGCGCGAGAAAGAGGGATGGAGCTATACACCTTTTATAGCGCCATCTCTCTTTCTCGCCCAGAACATTCACGCAATATCACGTCATTATAGGCCCTCTGTTCTTAAACCTTCAAATCAGTCTGTTCCGTTAATCAAGCTTCTTAATATCCTTTAATATTATTCACAGCACACTTGGTGGCCCTCACTCTTGCTAGTAACATGATCATTTCTATCCATGTAATGCTTTCTGCCGTACTCTCTTCTCTTTTAATATTGTAATAATTACCTATATAAGCTTTAACGATCTTAATCATAAAATATATTTTATTTATTAAAATTTTTAACGATGTATATGACTAGGACCTTTTTCAATTTTGAAATCAATAGACTAAACGGTTGGCGCTAAATCTAGGCAACCGAATAATGTACAAAGTGTCGCAGGATTGATTCTCTCATTGATTTTTTGTGATTCACAAATTTTTGTTCCGGAACTGGACACGGGACAACAATTTGTGGATTATATTTCTATATGCACACGGAATAAAAACCCTAGTTTTGATCTATATTATATATTTTTTTCTTGACATCTGTACTTATATTATACGCTGTTTGAGCGCGCTTATCTCCATAACTACTGGTTCGAATAGCATTATTATTTTATGAGTTAAATACTTTATTTTTCAAGAAATGCTACCTTATACAAAACTTCACGCTACGACCAATCAGAGCTGAGCAGCGGGTGAATCCACAAAGGATTGACATATGAATAAATATTTTATATGAATAAGACCGTTATGTATAAATTAACAAAGTAACATTAATCATTATTTCTTTTAGACTACACTAGGTACATATATGTTGGGGCTAGCAAATACGTCGTTTGTAGTTTTAGGTCTCGTTTCGGTCTTCCGTTTAACGCGATGCAGCTTGAGGTAAGTTCTTGTTGGTAATTCCGATCCCGTCACATTGAATCAAATTCATTTTTTCCTCTTGAGTCACTTCGAAGTTTATCTGCAACATGAAAATTATATTAGCTTACTTCACCACCGCTAAGTGTGGGTACAACTATTTCGCTAACAACGAAAATGGAAAATGTCCCTTTCGTTGTTTTCCCAGTTTTCCCATCTACTTTTCTAATATTTTCTTTGGTAAGAACTTTCTCCTGAAAATAATAAATGCAAGGAAAAAAATACGTGTGGCACTTAATAGTTTTTTATATATCCATATAATAATTTTTTATATATCTCTTTTTTACCAACCCCTATGGATGTACTAATCCGAAATAAAGATTATTTAATTTTATTTATTGAAAACAAATAAACACATATCCACGTGACCGCGGCACGCTGCTCATGAATAAGAGTCCCGTTGTGATTTGAATCTAGTAGAGCTTTTTTCAGTTTATTCACGTTAGTTGTTATTTTCAATATAGCAAGAGAAATACATAAGTAAGATATTTTTCTTTAAAAACAAACGTTCCCTCATACTAGGATTGTCTCCTGCGTCGTGGGTGCGTTTACAAATATACAATTCACATACACATCACACCCAGACCCGGAATGCCGGGGTTGCGGGGTAAGCGCAATGAGGTACCGCGACCTCGGCACAGAGCAGGAGAAGGAACAGGGGGGTTTTTAGTCAGTAAGAGTCTGACACTCCCTCCTGCCCGGCCCTGGGCGGGAGAAGTCATTTGATGATTTTCCCCTCACAATAAAAAAAAACCCAGACCCGGAATAACAATTTTTGGACTACACACAGTTATTCCAAGCGGGATTCGATCCAGATCCAGAAGCCAGTTGTCCAGCCACCGCGTCAACCGTGCAGTTAATCAGACAGTATGTATGAAATGCATACATAGTACATATTGAAATAGAATATGGCCGCGGTACTGACCCGTAACCCCGTCTGACTCTGCTATCCTACTATACTACGCATGGGGTGCCAGTGGATACAAGTGGGAAGCTCTGGAGGGATGGGGGGAGCCTTGTTCAGCCACGTTTTCTGACCGATGATGATCATTACTCGTCGAAATAAGAAAACTATTACTATTGCATAGAAGATAATTTGTAAACTTACCTTGAGCAGAGACTCGACGATGTAGATGACAGTTTTGGTGTGCATGGTGATCTCCCCCACTCGTACAGCGGACCTGCCGTCAGCCAGCGCCATGTAAAGTATTACTTGGTCCTGAAACAGAAAAAAAAGAATTTTATTATGTATCCATGGTCTACAAACACAATTTTACCCTATTTAGGTAATATTATCACAACCATAGCAGAAAAAAAAACCCTTGTGGCTGTGGGAATCGAACACGACGCGTTGCCCAGCAGCCAGTTCCCCACGCACTATGTGAACCGTGTAGGTAAGAGCTATATTATTTCTAAATGTTTAAAAATTAATTTTCATTAATCTTTTAAATACTTTTAAAATAAAACCACGACTCATTTGGTTAACTTTGAAAGAAAGGAAAGATTAATCTGGATTTTTGTATGTTTAAAATGTGTAGGTAAGTACATATATATGTATGAGCGAACACGCTGTGAGAAATAAGTCTTCTTTTAACAAATATGTGAGGAGCAGTACCTGAAGGTATGAGTCGAGACAGACGCCGCTGAGGACGGTCTCAGCGAGCTGTAGTCCGACGGTGCGGCCGAGGTCGAGCGGGTCCACGCCGCGCTTGCCGAGACCGTCCGCCGCCAACCGACACCCCGACGACGTCTCACAGATCACCCTGCATTACATACATTCAAACATACAGACATCATCAAACTAAACCATCTTTATGGAACAAAAATTAAAGTTGTTTCACGCCGGTATTCTGTGAGGCGATGGTATTTTACAGTCTAGCCGACCCATTCGCATGGCTCTCCAACACTTGATGGTTACAAAGTTACATAGACACAAGACCTAGAGTTCTGGCTGAGCCCGTACTTACATGATCCCGCTGCAGTTATGCGGCGCGACGTTGGCGTCCTCCTTGAGGGCTGTGATCTGCGTGCGCGGGAACACGCTGCATATCTTCTCCTTCACACCATCACTCATCTGAGTCGCCAACTGTACACGAAATACTAATTTTCAAATTCATTCCTAAAGTGATAATTTCCATAAAATAGCCTAACCGGCTATTTTATGGAAATTCTTCTCAGGCGCTTCTCATGCGTGAGAAAGATAAAGGTAAGTACCAATGTGAATTTTTCAGAGTTTTATGTACTTTCTATGATTATTTAGACACCACTGCTATACTGTGAAGGAAGACATCGAGAGGAAACATGGACTTTTTCTAATTATAAGTTTGAAATCGCTTATCTGCTTTGAGCAAACGTGGTGATTAATACTCAAACCTTCTCCGTGTGAGAAGAGGCCTTTGCTCAGCAGTGGGCACTTATAGGCTGATGATGATAAAGCTCAATATCTATTTAAGTTATAACACATTTGTATGTAAAATGCATCTTAATTCAATGTAAAAAAGTAGGAATTGCAACAAACCCTCAAAGGCAGAGTGCCAGCTACAAAGCTCCATCCAAAGATCGACGTGATGTATCCCCTCTCCGTGATTTGGACGGGCTTGAACTTGGCCACCGGGTTCACTTCCACCGTCACAATACCCCCTCCTTTCGGAAAATATCTGAAAACGTTTCGTTTGCGCTTAACTCGCAAATTCGTTTTAGCCACTCAGAACTCCAAATGTCATGAACGTTTCCTAACATTCCATAACTGTTCAAGGAACAAAATATTTTTATTAAACTCACCCGCGTCTATGGATTTTCAGATCGAACGGCGCTCCAAATAGCTTCATGGCGTTTCTAAACACTTCCGTCATGTACTCGATCTGTGGCGCCATGTCTGCGTTAGTGCCGCCCTTTAGGTCCAGGGTTACTGGCCCGTCAGCCATGAATGCGCAAGGTAGAGCTACCTGCATTAGAAGACTCACCGATCTGAAAATAGAATTACGTAATTTAGGCATAGATTTTCTGGGAATTCCCATGGGTGTGATTTCGTTTTTTCAATTAGTCTTATCGATGCATAATTTGATAAATAAACATTGTCCTGCGAGATATGTCAAGTTATGAGTTTATCTAAAACTAAATAAAAAATGTAGAAGCTTAATCGGGCATTGCGAAGCAGACTGTAACTATTATTAGGACATTATTCCATTATAGTCTGGCCATTGTAATGAATAAATAATGATATTGTTTTACAATAAAAATACTTCCAGTTTGATAGTTAGGGTAAACAAAAAATCACAAAAAACAGTTCAACCCACTTTAAAATGAAAATATAAGGTTTACGAATTGGTATTTTTAAATACCTTGTGTTAATACTTAATTATTTTTAATTTATTTAAGTCAGGCGTCTGAGGCCCATAGAGAATGCAATACATAAATATAATGTAACGTTAAACCATAAACTAATACATGTTACATAGATAATTATAACAAAAGACAATAAAAAATTAATCCTGCATTGTTTATGAATCAGCAAAAAAAAACATGGAAAGCAAATAACCTTACGTAGTAATAGTGTTTCTCATTCTCACCCGGCGGTGCGCGTGTCAGCTACGTAGTGCCCGCCCTTGATCACTTTGCCAGGATTAAACTTGATCTCAGTAGAGCCGATATTACCGCCGATGAGCTCTCCTTCACACATATCGGCTACTAACCTGAGACCTACACACCAAACATAATTGCATTGCATTGGTAGATAATTTATATATTCAAAAGTTCGTACACTGCTAGATCAATCAACTGAAGGGGAAATTCATCAAATGGCTTCACCCGCCTATGGTGGGGAGGGACAGCGTGTGAGACTCTTATTGACTATAAAACCCGTTCCTTCTTCTGCCCTAGCCCGACGCCTCGGTGACTTATTGCGCTTGCCCCGCCACCCCAGCTGAATATCAACAGGTCTATTGGCTTTTTGAAGCACTAGCGGAACGCAACGCTCGATTCTGGTTCTGGTTGGGCGGCGAGCGACCCTTACTCGCCGTCCGTGAGACACGCGCGTACGGTGGCCGGAGATCATCTATCGATCTGCAAAGCCCAGGGTGCTGCCAACTGCGGCGGCTGGGGCGTGAGAGACAGAGACTTCTCAGTTCCTCAACCTCCGCACCATAGCCACAAGCGCTAGAGGTCGCTGCTGCCGATCACTTCCCTGAAGACACGGCGGTGCTCAGCCCAAGCACCGTCACCTTGTCCTTTGGGTGGTTAAGTGAAGTGATACCAAGCATGCAATAAGTGCAATGCTACAAAAAATATAAAAAATGAGAATAGATGGAGTTGTGTTTTTGAGTAAGTATCTAATGCTGTGTACATATATGTATGAAATATATTTTCTATGATTATATAGATAGACACCACTGATATATGGTGAAGGAAAACATATTGAGGAAACCTGGACTTATAATTTCTAATCACATGTTTGAAATTGCCAATCCACCTTGAGTGTAGCTGGTGATTATTGCTCAAACCTTCCCCATGTGTGAAGAAGCCTTTGGTTTGCAGTGGGCACTTTTTTGGGCTGATGATGTGATGTGATCTGACACTGCTTGTCACCCACCCAGGGTGAAAAACATCATTTATAGATTTTCACCTTCTAATACTTGTGCCACATTATTAAGCTAGGGTGTTAATCAGAGGTGTAATTGGATCACTAAACAAATGTGTTAAAATATATTTTTTATCTTTTGATATCATCAATTATTGCAATAATTAATAGCATTTCCCATAAGTGATGGGAAATGCTATTAATTATTGGCCCCAGCATTAGTGATGGATTTTCAAATTTTCGTTTTTTTACTTTATAATGAACAATTATATAGTTATGGCAGTGTGGGTGAACAATGAAGTGATTTGAACACTTTTTTTTTGGTCTAGATTATAATTAGAGTATTGATTTTTTTAATGAGTAATGTTGTAAAACCTTTATAATTAATAAAAACAACACATTAAGTACAAGCAAACAAAACTATTTGATCACTAGTTTTATTTGTTGGGGAGCTTATAAAGCTCTCACCTTGATAATTATACAACAGTTATGTGTATGCACCTGTTGCCACTCCCTTTTAAGTCCAAGTCCTAATTGTTCAACACTCATGAATAACACCACACGCATATTTTATAAATAATTTGGGGCGGCGGTATCGGTGTTGCTTCTAAATCTAATCTAATCTTCAAAAATTTTCTAAGTCCCAAAAACCTTGCACACCCTTTGCTACACTCCAACCGTGTTGCGGCGTTGTATTATTCAACAATTACCAGTTCACTATTTGAATAAATGCTAATAAATCACAACTAAAAATACTATATTCCTACTTAGTAGTCATTAAAAGTATAGATTATAAAAGAGTTCTTCAGTGGCCACCGCCCTGTTATGATTATTGCTAAAGTTACATATATATTACTGATTAAAATTACAAAATATGTTTACCAACTAGATGCTGCGCCGCCAAGCCCGGCTTACTGCGATTTGCTCGTATTTTCACCACTTTCACTGGTATTCCCATAATGGCACTCAATGATATAGACGTACGAAGTATTTGACCACCCTGTAATTTATTTGTTTTTACGTTTTATCATATTTTTTATTTCAAAATCAAACTCCATTCTTGCTCAAATATATTTACCCCTTCTAGCATACTGCCATCAATTTCAGTATAATATTGTGCCATTTTGAGTATGTGGGTCGCAACCCGATTAAGGTTCTTCTTAAAGAAGGAAATAAATAAAAAATATATTCCGAAACGCGCACACCTCCGGCCTCCGGCACGAGATCCCGAATCCCAAAGAGTATGTAACCACTACGTTTACCGAATCCCGGTGATGTTACCGAAACTGAAATGTCAAAATCAATTGTGACTTTGACTTGCTCTTGATTCGTGTCGCTTGTCAGTGTCATCATTAGATCATAGAAAAGTAGAATCATAGATTTAGTATAGTAGAATAGATAAAATCCTGGATCAAATAAAAGTATGTAGGTACAAAAAGTTGTAAATGTTATTTGTAAAAGGTGTAATTTACTCCATTAGATAAATATTATTTCTCGATGACGCATCCCAGTTGTAGTGTCATCTTTTAAAAATATCATCAAAATATATATTGATAATGTCTATCAAACCGATATTTTCGATTTTAGTTTTTGATATTAATTCTTATGTTATTTGTCTTTATATTACGTGAAATATTTTATTATATATCCCAGACGTTTTATATTATTCGGCCAAAAAGAACATCGTTAGGCAACAAGTGATGAGCACAAATGGCCGGCATGGACTTTAAAAAAATTCTTACTTGCATGTTTATGGATTTCCGGAACTTCCGCGCAAAATGTCAATAGATGTTTTGTTGGGATTTGTGTGGTTTATTTTGTAATTTACCAATTAATTGGGAACAACTTACATTAAGTTGTGTTTAAATATAGTTATTTACAAAAATAAACAAATATACAAATACACGCATGGATATATTTTAGTTTATTCGTGTGACAGCGTAAATAACGATGCAAAGAAAACCAGGATTCCCCGTTGCTAACTGCAGCATTAAAATGGTAATTGTTTCTCTCTATAAATACTCAATAATTAGAAAGTGTAATAAATTAATAATTCGAGATAATTTAATGATCACTGAAGTTTAAACTATAATAACCGTCTGTTTTTATAAAAGTGAATCTTCAAGGCGCGTTGTCTAACATACGGCAGTTACGACTGTTTATGAAATTTAAAACGAAGTCAAGTATTTAGATCACATTTCTAAGTGTTTTAGATACTTTTACACCTAAATCAGCTGTTAAATACGCTTTTGTTGAAAGTTTGATAGTTAAATGATTACCGCCAATAAAATATAAAAAGTTATAACGTTAGGTTATTTATCAAATTAGAAGTTTCGTATGTAGTGACATTACAGCAAATTGTATTAACAACATAGCTAATTGTAACGTGGAACAAGAAAACAATCCGATTGTACTATGTGTGAATTGTACTAGTAATGTAGGTTATCACCAGGAGCGGTTCCTCTACTATCTCCCCAAGTCACACAACTGAGGATAATTTTATTTGAATTACTTAAAAATCAAACATCATTTTTATTGTAGCCGGACAGCTCAATGATGCCTGAGCATCTGCTAGGTGAGATGAGGTGCGACGAGGACAGTGAACAGCAACAGAAGCGCCAACAGTTGATAAACTTTGGTCACTCACAGTGGGGCTTCAATAACTGGAGTTGGTCAGTCAGCAAACAAGAGCTTGGTAAGAACTTAGTGAACTTACTACTTTATTCACACATTACTCTTCTACAAAATGGTATTATGTGGCAACACCCAAGAAATCAAGGAAATTCTTACCTTTCTGCCTTTCTGATCTCAATGCTTTTTCTCTAAATCGTACTTATATTCACTTTATTTACATTGTTTTAGATTTTGTGGATTTCACAAATGGAAGATACTGTGCAGGAGTGGTAGCATTTGTATCTATAACAGTGAAGACTTTTGACATACACCGGGAAAATATTGGTTATGCTACCTCAACTGCTAACACTAAAGGATTTGCTATTTATAAATCAAGAAAGGTATTAACTATATTTTAGATTTATCTGATCCCCTTGCTTCTCCTGTGATATATATTATAATAATATTTTTCTTATATCTTATTATGTTTTTGCAGTGTGCAGTGACAAATGCCTTGCGCGAGACTTTGTTAAGCTTTGGTGGTAGCGTGGCTTCAGAACTGACAGAGTTACTAGAGTCAAATAGAGCCGATGCACCAGCAAATGCACCAGAGCCTCTTAATGAGAACAACCAAAATGTAGCCAACAAACAAATAGAGCCTAAGAACATGACAATGGAGCGAGCAGCACGCAAGGACTCGAGTGATAGTGGCACGTCTCACCCCACACTGCGCTCTCCACACGCGGCGCCTATACCGCCGCCCGTACAGAACGGGCCGCTCGTACCACCGCCCGCTGTGAAGAACGCACCCTCGAGTGCACGAGTGCTCCCAACCAGCATGCCTCCTGCTAACCGCGTACCGCCAGTGGGACCAGGCCGGCCTGCGCCAGGCCCCGCAGTGCCTCCACCAGGACCAGCTCCACCGACAGCTCATCCACGCCCCAATTCTAACGTAAGTTTTGTGCTGCAACCTGTTGTAGGCGCGTTGGGTGGCTACGGCGTGCAGCCTATGTACGGAGCTCCCCGAGTGGGTGGCCCGGCTGCGCCGCATGTTTTTCCTAACGCGTACTACGAGTATCCCGGTGGAGGAGGCTGGCACTTCGCGTACGAGAGCTATGAGCGTCCTCCCGGTAATGTGAACCTTAACTTCAACCTGCCACCAAAAAACCTCGTAGTGAATGGGCGGGGCGCGTGTCGCCCTCCGGATGATGTGACGTTCGCACCGCCACCTCCGGCCCAAGGTTGTTGGATCAAACCCACCATATTTTACGACGGCTTTTGGACTGAGCAGAAAGTAAAAAAGTGGGTGGCAGAGCAGGTGGAGAAGCAGTTCCCAGAGGACGCGAGCGCAGCATCGTCGTCGTCGCCTGACAAGTCGTAGAGGCCGCCAGTCGGATCTCGGTCACCGCCGAGACTCACTAGCCATTATTTATTTATCAGCGAGTTATTCTTATACACTTGTGGAAATTTTTTGCCACACCAGCTCATACGAGTATTGCAGTAGTTTTGAGAATAGTAAATGTATTATAGGATGTTAGTATAAATTGGTAAGTTTGAAATCTCAAAAATGGTGAACTATTTTTTATGTAATTTTTCCTTGTTGTATGTAGTTGTAAGTGTTGTGGATGGTCAGGCGTTATTGTCGGCCACTTCGTTGTCAGAAGTCGGTGATCTAGTGATTCTAGTGTTTTGAATGTTTGCTTCTATTTACTATTTAGTATATTTCGGAGAATAGCCTTCATGCTCTTGCACCAGCAGCATTTTATACCTGTGTGATGGTTGAATAGATTCTCAATGTTTTGAAATTGAATGGATTTTTGTAATTTCACGAAAGTTTTACTCGGCTGTTCTTGAATATTTTCCTCTTATGATTACTTTAGGAACTGGGGTTTGACGTTGTTACATAGTTAAGAATAAAATAATGGAATTGCGAATGTACATAGATATATGGATGTAGTTTGCCGTGTAGTTATAGCTACATGGTAAATAAGTGTTTTTATTGAAATAAAATTGTTTGAATTAATATAATGTTTGATTAATAGTGTTTTTAGTTTTGGTTTTTACCTTTTTTTCTACCGGTTATTTTACTGGTCATGGAGACTAAACTACTTTTATCAGATATCAATATCAAATAATAATTATGATTGAAGTAAATAATAACTAACGTAGTAAGGAACTAGCGACTGATAGTTCTCATCGAGAATGATTGTTGAACAGGAGCCACTAAAAACCGGCCTGGAGGGGCTTAGCGAGGAAGAGGCCAGGGCGGAGCGAAAGCGGCGCCAGAGACTCGCACAAGAGGAATTTAGACAGAAACAGTTGATGAAGCAACAAGGACTTGGTTAGACACATCATTCTTATATGCTAAGTTATCGGACCGCCCGAAAGCGATCGGAGGGCCCAACTACTCGTATTTATATGTGTATGAGTACAGCAAGAACAATACTTTCAAGTGAGATTTATCTTAGATAACTAAATAAATAGGTTCCATAATGTGAACTAAAAATATTAGTAGGTAGGTATAAAAAAATCTATACTGTTAAATGTGTTTTACTCTCGATTCTCATTTAATTTCTTGTCAGAATACGTTGTTTTTATAAGTTCGCTTTTTTTATTAAATGATTTTGCTTTACAATATTTTCTTAATTATTTTCCTTACTCACACAATCGTATTCAACTGCGCATTTAACTTAGGTGGTGGGTAAAGTATCCAAATAAAAAATACACTGAAGGCCAATTATTATTAAGAGGCAATCAGTCCTATAGATCTACAGGTATAAAATAACAAGTAAATCACCACTAGATGTATTCTAACTATTAATCATACCTACTAAATAATACATATGTGACCCCCAAAGAAATACGACTGCGTTAAATTTTGAATATCTATTTATTTACATACCTGCACTGTCAGTTGACATAAGCACCTTATTTTAAAACCAGTAAAGACCTAATGACCTAACGCACTTTCTCTTGCTTCGTATTTAGATCTCTCCCGAGCACCTAATACTTTAGAGGATCCTAAAAAGTAGAGTATATAAAAAAGAAAGACTTCCCAGAAAAGTATCTTGACGGCTGGTATTGTCTGCAGATGAGAAAACAGAGCTGAGTAGAAACAGCAGCAGTTTCGATCACCTGCTGATGGAAATACCGACGCAGGACATAATGATTGAAGCTACAGGTGAGGAACCAGCCAAGAGAAAGTCCCCCGGCCCAGACACCAGCACGGCCAAGCGACGGAACAGCTTCATGAACAAATTGGATATTATGAAAACTGATTAAATTGTTATTATGTGCAGTGGCCATCAGGTCTACCTACTAATATTTTTCATAGGATTCCCGACTTTATATACTTTAACAATAAAATTTAAGTTTTACAAAACTTCCTGCTGGTCATTGTACTATGGTAAAATGTTTGATCAAAGATTTTTATTATTATATTCATGATTCGTTGCAAACTACGATTATATCTTTAAATATACTTATTATAAATATCAATATGAAATCTGTTTTCATTTTGTTTTTGTTCTAGGTATGAAGTATAAATTAATTTCCGATATCTTTTTTTATGTGATAACCGAGCAATCGGACTTCGTTGTTGGCAGCAATCGGAGCCACCCCTAGACACCCGCAACACCGAAAGTATTGCCAGCCTTTTGGGGATTAGGGATTGGAGAAGGGGAGGCATCTGGCCTCTGGTTACCTCACTCACACGGCGAATCACAATGCTGTGGCTTTTTCACGCCTTGTTTTAAGCGGTCGCAAGGGCGGAGTTGTACGAAGCATCGCTCTCCCGTACATAAAGGGCAAATAAAGCATTGCTTTCTCACACTTAGGTTTTAAACATGCTTTCTTCTTTTAGTTTGATGACTTTATTATTTGTTTAATTTTTTTTTACATTCTCGTAATATAAAAAAATCAGAAAAAGAAGTTGCAATACAAAACAAAATATTTTTGAATTATTTTATTGTATTCACTAACAGATTACGCATCTTACACAGGAGTATTTACATGAACGAAAAATACTAAGTTCTAAGTTATTGTACTCAGGTAAATTAAGAAACGAAAATGACACCCTACTTACATTAAAGAGTTAAAACGAAAAGTCACCTTAAAACAAACGACTTAAGAGCTAATTAACATTGACTGCTAACGTTAAGTGCATCAGGCTGGCCGACGGGTACCATAACAGGTATCTTCATAGTAACATTTCAAACTTATGAATTCTCATAACATTTGAATAAGGTAATTTGTAGAAATATTTAATGTCGTAAATAATTAAAATTAGAGGTACCGTCCCACTGTTACAGTGAGTTATCAGCATAATGATTGATTAAAATAAGATTCATATTATTAAAACCAAAATATCTTTTATATTGAATTCGTCGCCAGCTATTGAAGCCATAACATCACACTTTAATAGACATATTAAAGTAACATTCATTATTTGATCAAAAGCAAGTCTTACAAGCAGGCTTGTTTTGGAGCAAACAATTATTGTAATCGCGTTGCACAATTACCACTTCTAACAAAAATTTTTTGAAAATGTTCTCAGAGTTTGCATCCACGTCTGTTTAGTTCAATATGTCTATCAAAAAAATTATAAGTAAAAAAACAGGTCTTAAGAAATAGAATATCTGATTCACACGCTGACGATCCAAACTCACAACCAATATATAAATACAAACAATTTTACATAGAACTCCACTATACTTGAAATAGTGTTACAAGAAAATAGCAATATTATACATTAACTGAATTATTGAGGAACAGTCTCTTGACAAGAAAACAGATAAAAATATATCAAAATTTTAAGTGCAATGGAGTTCTGTGCTTGACATCCAAACATAATTATTGTAGATTAATTTGAAAACTTGTTACTTTTAAAACGAAATTCTCTGTGCATGATACATACAGGACATACTCGATAGCTAGCTGACATAGGAAGCAACTGTCAGTGTACACTGAAGTACTTATAGATAATAGCTTCACTATCTAGTACATTTTCTGGTTATAAGTAAAACATTTTTATGCTAGTAATGTGTTTCGACTCTCATTTAAAGCTTTTGCTTAAGTTGATAGATACATATATTATAAGTATCGATAGAAAAATAACATAATAATTGCGATAATTTACCTTGACAATTTATTTATTTAAACAGGGTGAATCCCGTAATTCAGTGCTGATAACTCTAATGCTACATTTCAACCCTATGATACTTGCTCGTCTAAATTATGTGGTTTCACCCTAAAATAAATTATCATCGAAATTATCTTGAGATGTTACAATATAGACTTGCCTCATTGGCACTAACATTTAACTAGAAGCTACAAAACTTTAGACCTAACATACTCTATGTATGTGTACAAACTATATACAAGGACATGAGTTTAAATGTACGAAAATAATTATTGCAATCGATAACTCCATACAGTCGAGGGCGTACAAACATTTCGTATAAAACTACTGCGGGGACCGGGATAACACGGTGGAGGAATACTAAACTTAACTCAATTGATTCTATATCAACAGTAACAGACATCCTTCCCGTCCATCACCCCACAAAAAGACAATATGCACCATCAACAACATTCCTCTGGGTTTAACCAAGTTCCCTCACAACCATCAGTTCACCGTCAGCCCCTTCTTTAACAACTCTGGTTCCTATGAACCTATCACTGACTATTAGCCTAGAAATCGAAGGGGACTTAAATATGAATCTAGAGAAAGAATGGATAATCCGAATATCTATGGGCTTGATAGGAGCGCTTACTCATGGCCTTTCTGTCACTCCGCATGCGTTACTTCATATTGGGTTAGATCTGGAGCGATTTATTCTAGACAGACTAGTGAGAGTAGAGGCCACAGGATTTGGCACAGCTCTTAGGGCCAAAATAGCAGATACTTACAGAGCATTTTCTTGCTATGGGATGGTCACACCTCTTAGGAACACTTATTACAGGAGGATGGCAGAGCATTCCATGTTGACAGAAGGTCAAAATGCGCATGCCTTTCTGATACTCGATGCAAAGATAGAGATAGACAACTTCGATCTAATAATGAGAGATAGAGCCCTCCTCCTTGGATTCCGACAGCTGTTGAAAGTGCCTGATGAGGTAAAAAAGATGGCTCCTCTGAACATACCTGGTCCACATGAATCTAATCCGTCAACAACATTCAGAAGAATTCTAATGGCCTCCTCCACAAAGCCCCAGGTGATTTCCAAGCCTGTGGAGGCGTCCACTAGTATGACCTTCTGGAAAGAGTGTCGGGATAGATACACACTCAAAAGGGCCTCCTCTGACAAATCCACATCCAGTGAGAGACATGGCGCTAATGGGAGGACTTCCTCCGCCCTGATGACCCTTTTTAAGAAAAAGACTCCCAACTAATTGACCTCTATGATTTTAAAAAACTCTAATACCAAACAATATCACATGGCGATAAAAGCTCATTCAACTACTTCTCACCCCATTTTATGTCAACGTCTTATCTTCCTTAGTTTCATACACCTCTGCAACAATTCAGTAATTACCCTAACCGGTGGGAGAAAGAAGCCTCAGATCCTCCTTTCTATACTATTAGGCAATCGGACGTTTGAAATAACATCCTTTCCTCTAGATATCGAAGGGTCTCCTTTGGAACTTAACACCTTTAGTGACAGTCTATGTAGCTTCATAAAAAACTTTGGATTTAAAATTAGGTGTTGCCCCTTTGTCAAAATAAAGTCCCCTGCTGGACTATTCTATGAGCTAACACGCCCTGAAACCACACAAACAATCACCTGTTGTGGCAAAAGAAGCCCGTGTTAACTGGTAGTCATTGTATGTCATGGGAATATATTTCATTGCAGACGGATTTTCCTCCCAACACAATTTTCTGCCAATTCCTTCATTGCTACGCTGTATCAAGACTGTCATATCGTTGTAAAAAGGGATGTTTTTATTGCAGCTCACCATGCAGAAAGTTTTACAGCTCTCACTTCTTTTTTGGTTGGTGACCCAGTCACTCGGATGGGAGTCTAAAAGGGTCATTTCCCACATCACACTGTGGAAAGAACCTCCCAGTGATGAAATGATACCATTCCGAGAATGGGCAATTACAGAGGCTGTTAGACAGACTCATCTCACAGACTCTCTCTCTGTGGAGACAGCTGATTTGACGTATAGGGCATCAACAATCTCTAAGCCACTGTGTGAAGGACTCCTCTCTCTTCTATATACAGTTAAGGCAACCATCACGAAACCTGTCCAGATAAAGGATCATTTGGACCTCCTGATAGGGAAAAGTCGCACTGTAACCTATTTAAGTGTCTACAATAAGAATTATCATGAGGAAACATTCAAGAGAATGAAAACACCTCCAGGGACACTGCTAATCTCAAACAGCTCAGTGACCTGTCCTGAACATGATGTAAATGCTTTTCTGGTGGACATGCGGAGCATGAGTTCCTCCACTTGCAATAAGATCCCCTATTTGAGTTCAATCGGAAGGACCTGGATTTCGACAAGAGGTGGTACCACATGGGTTGGAGTTACTATGTTAGACGCCAACCTCACAGTGTTAACTCATCAGGCTACATTATTTCCTGATAGGGCAATGGAATCGTGTAAACTCACGGAAAGGAACTTAGCTCTCCACCGTCTCAATGAGACAGCGTGGATAAGCATAACTACCAAAGGGCACCCGATGACTCTTGCAGATCTTTTTGATGAGTAGAACTCTGTTTTTCCTCGCCACCAGGCAACCCTTGTCAATATTACATATATTAAATATTAGATATAGAGGGACATGGCATTCAATATGAATGAATATTGTGTCATTAGTGGGACTATTTCAAGGCATACTACTGTATGGAGCGGGAAGCTTCACTATGATAGCGAGTCTTGTACGGTGCAACAATTAAGTGACGTTTTGCTTTCTGAATTAACAAAAAACCTAAACTTTATCCAGGGCTGTACCGATCAAAATATTGAGGAAAACGTGTGACCATTGTTCAATAAACTGGCCAATATTACGAAGTCTATTAAATGCCTGGGAACAATAAAAAAATATTTATTTTAGTCAAAATATATCAAGATGATATTTACTAGGTATACCTATATGTGATACAGTTTTCCAAGACGAATAAGGAGAAGTCTAAATTCTAATTTATATAAAGTAGATTTGTTGCCGTAACGGCATAATTTTTCGTGAATTATATTTCATGAAATGAGATTTTTATACTTTTAACAATATCGGGACGATTATACAAAATCCCTATATGTATTCATATTACAATAATTCAGGAGTTTATCATACATTTATATTATTTGATAGTTAGGAACGAGACAAGCAGAGTAAATACTTTTGTTATATAACCAGTCTGTCACTCTAATTATAAAATATGAGAAGGCTACTGATATATTATGTATCCTACAAAAATATTATGTTAACAGTGTATATTGTATGTATCATAATATTTTGCTTTGATAGTGCACTATTTTATAATATTGCTCTAAAATATAATAAAAGTTATACATCGACAAAATACTATTTACAGAGTGCATTGTATGTAAATAAATCGATGACTTGTTAAAGTAACCTAACTATAATAAATATACTAAAACCTTTTTTGAAATTATTTTATTGCACAGTTAATTGGCGTTGGTGAAATTAGGCTTAGAGAAATGGAGCGATATAAGTTATCTAGTCTAGTAGTAGGTAAGTATTTAGTAGTCTACATCATATTCATGATGTAGGTATAATATATGTAGGTATAAGTAGAGGGTATTATTTTTCTTGTATACACTTCGATAAAAAATGCATTTTGATTTGTTTTGATGATAAAATAAACTACTTTTACTTATATATTTTTGCACATTTCTCAATGTTTGGAAAAACGGAAATTTGATTATAAAATGAGCACTACCAGAGCTTGGTAAGTATATAATTATATATTTAAACTACTACAGTATACGTAGGCTACGATCGGTTACATTGATCAGGTTCAAGATTGTGTGCAAAACTGTGGCAGTCATAATTTCCCAAAATTTTAAACCTAGCAACTGATATACATATATCCCTGCAACTTTTAATTGGAGATAACCTGGTTATACTTAGGCGATCTAGTCGGACCTGGTCACACTTAAAAAAACTAAAATTTAAATTATATACAACAAAAAAATAACGACAATCTGATGTTGATCCGTCATTTTTGTCAATAAAAAGCAACATGCGACATGGTTGCGCATGTTCCTTCATTTATATTTCAAAAAAAAAAGGGACGAGGCTCACGATTATTAATTTATTATTAAAATTGTATTTAGTTTGGAGTTCAGCTGAAGTTTAGGCCCAACAATATTGTGTTCCATATTTGAAAGTTCAAACTGTACTATGTTGAAGGCTTGAAGTGCTTTATGCCACTCGGAGAAACAGTACTATGAATAGAAATTACACGGGCCGGTGTAACCGTGGGATATACATTAGTGATAAACACACGAACGACTTGTAAACTCTACATTAGTGGAAGATTGTAACATTAAATACCGCGTGTTGAACGTACAATTCCATTTGGCGGCGCTGCCGAGTCCACTCCATACTGGATTCTGTAACACGGTCCACTTATTATTATTTTTGTAACAACATGTCAAGTCGTTTTATATACCAAAAGCGAATGCTGACGTGCAAATATTAAATTGGAACCACATATTTCAGAAAAGATAAATGTAAATAAAATCAACAATTAAAAAAAATATAATTTAAATAGGAATTCTTCAAAAAGCCCTGCTTTATATATGACTCAAATATTTCGAAATCCCTCAATAATGAAATCCCGAACGTTAAAACGCACTTGAAACTCCTCTGGCGTTGCTGGTATTCATGGGCGACGCCGATTTCTTACCATCAGGTACCTAATAAGTTATCGCATTTGCCGCCCTATTTTATAAATAAAAAAAAACATTCAGTATTTGGGTTATTCTCCTAAAAACCTTTTTTTTTTTTGTGAGGGGAAAATCATCAAATGACTTCTCCCGCCCAGGGCCGGGCAGGAGGGAGTGTCAGACTCTTACTGACTAAAAACCCCCCTGTTCCTTCTCCTGCTCTGTGCCGAGGTCGCGGTACCTCATTGCGCTTACCCCGCAACCCCGGCTGAACATCAGCCCTTTAGGGCCCCATCTGTGGTGGTCGAATGGCTCTTTGAGGCGCGCGCGGAACGCTACGCGCCGTACGCTCGGGCCTGGTTCTGGTCGGGCGGCGAGCTGCCCTTACTCGCCGACCGCAGGCCCGTGCTTACGGTGGCCGGAGATCGTCCCTTGATCCCCGACGCCCGTAGTGTCGCCAGTTGCGGCTGCTGGGGCGTGAGGAGGAGGATTGCTCCCTCACGCGGGCCGCCTCTCTCTTTACGAGCATGACTGCTTCACAAAAGGAGGAGACGGCGTCCCAGTTCCTCTCACTCCGCACCATGGCCTCGACTAAGGCCGGGCGCGAGAGGTCGCCGCCGCCGATCACTTCCCTGAGGATACGGCGGTGCTCAGCCCAGGCAGGGCATACCGCTACCGTATGCTCCACCGTATCCTCTAGGTCTCCTAAAAACCTTTATCCTCCCATTTTGCTGAGCGTGTTAATAACATTATATGATACATATTTTCTTTCAATTTTTTGTGTGCATGACACGGTTTAATTTAAAAAAGCAATTATTTGAGTTCAAATCTGCACAAATGTTAACTTTGTTTTGAAGATGTTGTTCAATGACCCGTCTATATTTATTAATATAAAGGAGGAGAGTTTGTTTGTTTGAACGCGCTAATCTCCACTACCGGAACTACTGGTTCCAATCGAACAATTCTTTTTGAGTTAGTAGTTGTAAGTACATTTATCGCGAAAGGCTATAAAACTTAAGGCTAAGATTTGTAGGAGCCGAGCAGCGAGTGAAACCGCGCGACATAAGCAAGTTCAGCAACAAAGTATTTACCTCGGTCACTAGACGGGGACCTCCTCTGCTTCCTTCTCCCTCTGGCGTACTGCGACTGCGGTCTCCACGAGCAGGTACAGACACTTGAACTTGTCTCGCTCGCCCTCACTACTCACATTCGTGGGCACCACCTGAGGGACACATAATAAATCTCATTTTAATATAATGCACTCAATACAGTAGTTCCCAACTAATCAACTTCAATACTGTGAAATATGTATGAATATTACTAAATAAGTCCTAGCAAAAATTAAACACAAAGTGTTCGATGGAATTATGATTAGGTTCGAATATTTCGTTCTAACTATAGAGACCGAAATAACTTACTTTTGACAAAAGAAACTACCGAAATATACCTATCTCTTCAATCCTGTTACCCAAAAATGATTGTTATGAAGAGAATAAGTAGAAAAAAATTAAAAAGCAATTTTAAAATTCTAACAGAGTTGACCATTCATTGGTTATTAGAAGTAAATAGAAGTATGAAGAATAAGAAAAAATTAGTTTCCCCACTAGGTTCGCCAAATTATAGTTAAAAATAAAAAATACAATATCGTAAATTAGGCTAGGAGCATAATTATTGCCATCAACAGTGAATAAGACACGAGTTCTTAGTCATCATTGCGAAATGCGAAATTTGCGAAGGTTACGTGTGATTTACATATTTTGAAATATTATTACCATCACAGACAGACTAGAAAATTCCTTCCATTTACGTTATACAGTATACCGACACTTTCTACAGATCTATGTGTAAGGAAGTGTTAATGAATGCTTTATTTGATTAATGTATAATATTATACACAAAGCATCAGTCAAGTGTATTTTTATATAAAAGAGAGATTTTATTAAAATATAGCGATTGGCTAACTATTATCCTGGTTGCAATTTCCTAACTTTGCCCTCTACTTTTTGAAATGTTACTTCGATAACAAATCTGTCCCGACTATAATAAGTACAATTGGCCAATTGGTCATATTGGCCCAGGTATGTTAGTTATGCGCTTTCCAACACATTTTGAGTGTCATTTGACTATGAATAAATTAGGAAAAAATTCTGGTTGAAACATAAGTATCTAGTTTGTGATGTGTAAGTAGTGTTTGTTGGATGTGGTATGGTGGTGGTAGTGGTGGCATACGTCATACCTGCAGTCGGCGACGCAGCGGATGCGGCAGCTGCGGCAGATGCGCGAGCTGCGGATGCCAGCCGCCGGGCGCGGCGCTGCTGGCCGCGCCGCCCGCGCCGGCCGCGCTGCCCGCGCCGTCCGCCGCCGCCGCGCCCGCGCCCGCCTCCGCGCCCTCCTCCGCCTCCGTGCGCACCGACACCACGCCCGCCGTGCGACTGTAATACAATACACGCTCATACTCTACTCTATCTTACCTCATTTATAACTCTCACCACAAGTCAAGTCAGTCAGGACATGTCAACTTGAAACTTGTCTTGTAACTGTTAGAGGATATACTAGTACTAGCAAAAATAGTTAAAGATCTGCGCAAATTTTGACTATGACCGTGACTAGAACTAGAATATGAAATAATTTGCAACAACAATAGTGTAATCGAATTAACAAAATATTCAGTAAGTACTGAGTTCAAGCTATTAAGCTGAATATGTTGAACTTTTGAAACTTGTGACATAAAAACAATTTCTAGTATTTATATCACTAATATTGACAATATTGCATATTCTTATACGCACAATCGCCAATTTTACTTAAAAGGCTCCCACAAGTTAGTTGTTTGGACTATAGTCCGTAACAACATGAGCAAAGACTATGAAGAATGAATCATGACTTGCATAATCAATTTGTATTAAGGTCCCAGCTTTGTGTAGGAGCCCTAAGTAAAGACCTATTAGTGACCAACCCTCGGGCGACGGGTTGTAGTTCCCGGTCCTCTGGTCCGTACCGTATGACGGACTGCCAGACGGAGGGGTCGTATTTGACCTCCTCCTCTGAGACAGCGCTAGATGAGTATCCCTCCTCTCCATCCCCGATGTCGTCTCCATCGCTCCTATACACCAGCAGTCCGTCGCTGTACTCCTGCTCGGCACTGCGGTCTGCGTCATTCTGTTGACAAAATGCAATTCATGAATATTGTACACGAAGATGTACAATTGCGGTTCACAGAATACCGGTGTGAAACAACACGTAAGTTGTGTGTCGTTGTATGAGTGCTCGAACCCTATCCCTCCCCCGCCCTCATCTTAAATCATCTTTTTTTTTTTTTTTTTTTTTTCAATTAGACCACAGTAGGCACTTTTGAACGTCAAGCAAGCAAAAAAGGAAAAAAGTATATAACATGAGCTTTAAAATTAAGCATGTCAGTCTGTCCGTCTGTCCTCTAGTGAAGCTATTTGCTCGTTCCAAAGTGTAGATTCCTATGGAGAAGAACGAGCAAGAAACTCCATGGTTACTCTTTTTCAATCAGTTTTACAATACATTTCTTTGTTACATCATTTAGTTGGTTCTGATATGTGAGAACAATGTAACACTAATGTTCAGGCAAAAGGTACGAAAAAGAAGTGAACCTCAAGGACAACATATTTAGACAGCCTGGAGATGACCAGTCCCAATAGGCGGCGCCCGTTCACGAACATGACACGTACACCAGCACCGCCCAACTCAACCATATTATAGGGAATTGGGCGATCCAGTGCCCGTGCCACCGCCAATGAGACCTCTAAGTGAGCATGACAGCTCCCAGCCGACACAAGTACCTATATTCTACAAGTCTTACTTAATTATAATAGGTTACAGGGTACTCACATTTACAAAAACTTAGAAGTTCATCAACAATTAACAACATAGTGTACAATTTAATAATTAAAATCAAAAATTCCTCTAAACATCCTGTGGAGTAGGACCAGCTAGCCTCCAAGCATTTTTATCTTGTATATAATCATTTAGTTTGTAGTATGCTAGTTTACATAAATGTTTCTTTATACATAATTTAAATTTGCTTTCATTTAGATTTTGAATTTCAACTGGGATTTTATTATAACATTTAACACAGAAACCCAGAAATGACTTATGCACTTTTGCCAATCTAAAATAAAGGCTGACTCAATCTATTCCTATGTCTAGTATGATAATCATGTTTGTCAGATACCTTTACAAATAAGTGTAGGTTTTTCCTAACATACATAATGTTTTCATCTATCCTTCAATCCATAATAACCCACTAAAAGGCGGTAACATGTTATTATAATTTGTATGCTTATAAATAGTATGCACCACAGCCAATGACATTCTATTATCTACATAATCAGTAGCAAGTTTGTTTAAACATAAGTGCAATGAATAAAGCTTTTTTTATTCTACACTTCTACAGTGTTCTGCATTATAGTACACCAATCAAGAATTTGAAACATGTGATATAGTTACCTCAACTTCGACTCCGTCCCAGGAGGCGACGACGACGCCGGCGCTATTGGCGTTGGAGCTGGAGCCGCCCGGCTGCTTGCGGCCGCGTCGCGAGATCGTGTAGTGCAGCGGGTCGTGGCCCTCGCGCCGGATCATCTCCGGCAAGATACGCCGACGGGCGTTTATGAACCAATTGCATACCTAAACGAAAGGCAAATGTATTTTTTTGTAAATGGCTTTAATCGTAACTTAAGAGTTTTCTGTCGGTTTTGGTTAATGCATAACTGGGTTTTTCAATGTCTTAGAATGACCTTATGTATCGGATGTGGCAGTAGCCAAACTGAAAGCCTCCTTACATGACACATATAGTCTTAGTAAAGCAAGTTTTGATTTTTATAAATAACTAGATATTCTCGTGCGGTTTCACCCGCTGCTCGGCTCTATTTGATAGTAGCGTGATGTATTATAGCTTGTAGCACTCAAGAACATTGTAGCTATCTATCAGTAAAGAATTTCTTTTCTTCTTTATATTATTAGTAAAGAAAAGAATAAAAATATACTGCGACTCTTGATTGTAATGAAACAGTATCTATCATAGAACTAACCTGCAATACGGTCAAGTTAGCTTCTTGACTTAAAGCGATCTTCTCAGCGTCATTAGGGTACGCATTGTACCGGTGGTCGTACAACCACTTCTTGAGGATCTTGACTGAATGTTTCGCTAGGTTCCCTCGTCGCTTGCGAATGGACACGATGCCGGGAGGAGGTGTGGGCACTCCTCCGTGTATGAGGCTGACACGACGAGATCTGTCCGCCTCTCCATCTGTACCGCTCTCATTGTCGTCTGTTGAGGATGTTGACGGGAAACGGTCTCGAACTGGAAATAAATACCTAATTGCGTTTAAAAATATGTTAAGAATTTATTTTATTTTATTTAGAGTTATTAGCCATTTAATGTATATTAATGAGTATACGTTGAATATGTCATCAATCTGTATTTATAATGATGTTCACTTCAAGTGACTATCATCAATGATTCTAGAACCACCATTTAATGCCTGTTTCAGGTGCATGATCCTATGTGGTACGCGCTAGCTAAACATTACTGGATCATTAGTTTGGCTTTTGTCTTAGGTGTTCCATTGTATCAGCGAATGGATATTTATTACATAATCAGCTTTGTTTCAGATTTCTATTGTGTAAGGTGTAGGTAGACCGTCTTCAGTTTGCTACGTTTTGTGCATGAAGTCCTGTTTACTTATGGTGTTAGGCGAACTAATAGCTTTGAATGCACGGTTGGAGCGGCACGGCTGCCGCACAACGTGTCGCAGGATTCGATTCCCGCGTGGAACAACTCTTTATGATCCACAAATTGTTGTTTCGGGTCTGGGTCTACAAACATACGATTTCACGTACACATCACGGGTATATGAAAGCGTATGTTTGTAAACGTACCCACGACACAGGAGAAAATCCCAAAGCGTGGCAAAGACTTTTTTAAAGAAAGAAATAGTAAAAGTAACTGAAAAGTATTTGTCTTTTAGATTTCTAAGATTTTAAGTCTTGTTTATTTACACCGCTGCCTGTACCGTTGAGCGCGTAAAGCGTGATGTCACGCACTTGTTTCCATGCAATATTCAGGTTTTTTATTCATACATATATCTGTAAAAATCACATCGTTCGTGTTTTCAAAACACGCGTGAGCCCAATCTATTGTCAACGCATGACTTTTGTAAATTATTTACGTGTGTTACTTAGGGTTGGCAATTTTCAAAAGTGAAGAAATGTTTTAGTTTTCTCTTTTCGTAACGAAATGTTTACTTTACCTATGTCTCTTTAGTTGATAATTTTATTTAGTTAATAAAAGGTTCATTGACATTAATCAAAGTTATAAAATCGTCCTTAATTAGCTCGGACCCTGCTGTCGTTGTCATAGTAATAAAACGACCGGAACAATTAGGTTTTAAGCCTCCGGCAGCCCTGATCCTAACGGAGATTCAACATTTGTTTTCTGAATACGTCAGTCCCATATGTTTCTGTTTAGTTGGCAATTTTAATAAAGTGCTAATCATACTTATACTTTTGTATTTATAATGGTGACGGAATCAGTATCAGAAGAACTTCTGTTTTGAAAGTATAATGGATATAGATAGGTATTTGGTTTAATCAATTTTGAACACTATTTAAAGGGAATAAAGGTTTCTAAAGAGTAAAGGAAATGGCTTAGCCTTTAGCCTTTTTCATATGAGGACAACTCACAATAACATTATGGTCGGTGACCCCTACGACACTAATCCTGTGTTCAGTTCTCGACGCAAAATAATTAAATATTGACTTTTACATAACTTGATTCGTGAAAGCAAATATTATACAAAAACGACTAAAAAGTACAGATACAAAGAACAATCCTTCTTGACTGTTTACGTACGTCCCTAGTTCGCTAGGTAAATTGTCGCAGTGTCATCTTACCCCCTGGCCACAGCCAAGCGCGGCGCGAATTGCGGCGCGACAAGCGGTGAGCGGGGAAAACAAATGGTAGACAACGTATGAAGTATACCACAGCTAACGGCGACGCGAATTGCGGAGCGACCTGCGGCGCGGAGAGCGTCGCGCGGCATGCGGCGGCGACGGGCGGCGCGGTGTGCGAGTGAAACAAATGCACTCGGGAGTATCGAGGCGGCCACAGCCAGAGCGGCGTATGAAGCGGCAGCGAGGGGACGTATTTGTGTTCGCGCGAACTGAATAAATCGTTTTGAAAATTTCGCTCCGCATCAAATGGATACCGAAAAACTTATTGTATGTAATCGAAGGTTTTTATGCTTGTCCTCGTATATTCAAAAAATTTTTCTGGATAGTTCCTATATTCGTGATAAAGCGTGTGAAATTCGCCAAGGTTTTTCCTTTTTTCATTAACTGGGTGCGTTCCAATTTTAGAGTTAATGATATCTTGAACTAAAAACGCATTAGTCTCAAGACAATATCGTGCCACTTTTGATAGGGCCATTATAAATAATACTGAGTACGTCCACCGCTGACGCCGCCGCGGTCGCAACTAGTCGAGCTGTGGCATACCAACGCAACTCGCGTCGCCCGCCGCGCCTCCCGTCGCACCGCGCGTCGCACCGCTAGAAGCTGTGGCCAGGCCCTTAGAGTGTTCGCGCTTCGCAGGTATGTATGTGAGGCGACGGAAGTGGCCGGGGTGCGATCGATGCGGGTGAACGGCCGGGGGTGACGCAACACGTCCAAGGACAACAATATTTACTGACAAATCTACCTCGGATCAACCTGTTAAGAGCTCTCAAAATAATCTTGTATCAAGATTGTTTTGAGATGTTTAATTATGCACTGTGGATTGGCCGTTAACTCGATTCCTTGAAAGTTTTAGATTTTTGGAGTTTATAAAAGTTGAAAGCTGCCTAAGCACATTATTTTTTGTTTGTGTTAAGGAAGATTCGGCTTATGCACACCTATATCTAGATTTTCTTGTGTATTGAAGTTAACTTCCAATTACCAAGTCTATAAAAACAATATCTACTGGGATACTCAGCAGCATTTGAAAGTCGGAGTAGAAGATAGTATGACGTCAACAGTGAAATCGGTTCAGACGTTTAAAAATTTGCGTATTTTTCAATATAGTTATATATATTATAATCAATTTTATGAATAACAGTGTCAATTTAAATACGCTTCGTAGCAAAAGTGACGCGCAATAGAATAAACATCTATTCAAATAACGGTCCGCTGAAATGGCCCAAGTAAATTAGCTCAGTGGGGAACAAAACAATGTTCTCGTGAACCCGTCATTGTGTGACCGGTATTGTTTTACAAGTAGAGACGCGGCACACATTGTGTCCTACCAGGGATTTGTTTTGTTAACGGACGGCGTACGAGCATAAAACTCATGTAATTTGAAACCTATGAGATAAAAACCGTCAAGACAGGTAAAGGAAATGTTGCATAGACAACTTAGGTAGATGTCTAAAGTAAAAGTAAACTTTTTCTGAATGAATAGTAGACTATTCATAGATAGGCAATTGGGTAGTTTCCTAGGTCAAAAATAAATTAATTCGACGTTTCAATACAACAAAATATTGAAAAATAACTATACTTTTATTCATCGATCGATCGATACAGTAAGTTTTAGATATTTTGTAGTTAATAATTATTAAGAAATAAGTAAGCTATTTGACGCAAAAATACTATGACGTCATAACTCAGTTTTTCATAGAAGAGTATCGTTTTTGACATTTCGATAATAGTATTGAGTTTGACTAGTAGGAAACTACCGTATTATCGATTTAGCTCTTTATATTTTGTAATTTTTGACGTTTTTTTTTAATTTGCAGGCAATCAAATTTTGTTTGTGTCATTCTGCTAGGAAAAAATCGGGAATGCGTTTGCGATAGCGCAGCGTTACAATACAACAAGATGGTGTAAGTAGTAAGATTTTTTGCCTTGCCAACGGGAGTGACATCTTTATATTTTATAACCTATAACGTTTGAACAGGAATGAAAAAGTAACTGCAATAACTATGAAATCCGAATAACGAGGCATGCTCAGAATGATGGTAAAACCCGGTAATCTAGGCCAATTTACTGCACTATTTTCACGCTAAATCGTACCGCAAAACACGTTTCTACTATCTACATAAACTGGCTTTTCTTAACTGAGAAATGAATGTAAACGAGGGACCTAATCGTAAACATTTGGCCGGCTGATGGCGACAGTTAACCCCTTTTTTTAAGGCGAGGAATGCAGAAAGATTTATAGTGGGCATAATTTTCTAACATGTCAAAAAATTTCAGTGGTTGTCCGTTGTAATAAACCTTTGGAAATGACCGTTACCTGTGTGTTACTAACTCAAATAGAAATAAAATATAAGTTAGTTTCCTGCAGATATCGGCAAACCTTCATATTTATAGTATCTGGGATTCAAAACAATCACTTTTCTCAACAATAGCAGCTATAGAAAACGTCGTAAAGAATAGGTCGGGAGTAGGCATGAAACCGGAACACAATCTAAACATCTGCGCGGGACAACCGCCAAGATAACAGACTGACATTAGGTACAGAGTACGTTTACAGGCCGTCCAGTTGCGTAAACTGCATTGAGGTATGCAATACCTTGGTGTAAAGTGTTGCAACGATTGTTTAAATTATAATCAAGCGTTTGGTGTACCTTAGTAGGCTTCGTATTCAAGTCTTGTATCCTTTTAGGATGCACGTTTTTTTTATAAGTACCTACTTACTTAACATGGGTCGGTAAACGAACAGAAAGTTTACCTGATGGTAAGCAATCGGCGTCGCCCATGGACACTCGTAATACCAAAGGAGTTACTAGAGTACGTTGCCCTTGTTTTGTCGGTTATTAGGGATTTAAGCACATTATCTTTGATTAAGGATAAATCTTTCACAAAAGAATACCATCAGTAGAGGGTATTCTTCATTTATCTTATGCAAACGTGTGCCTGCTTAAGATATAGATAGATGCTTTAATTAGGTGTCCATGGGATGGTAGACGGGTGTGGTATCGAGCGATAAATGGTTGGAATAGATAAATGGACTAGCCAACACAAAAATATAATTTTAATATAGATTTTCATCAAAACATCCATATAAAACTATCAACCTATATTAAGACTACTACCCAGATTCATTTGTATAAACAGCTGAACTGCTGACCCGAATGGCGCCAAAATGATAATCCGCGTCAATTGTCATTTCGCCCGTCAATTTGCACCGCCCGTGTCGTCAAAATGATTGATGATTTCCGTTATAAAATAGGTTGGGTAAAGATCTATAATAAAAAGAGGTTACCTACGTAATTTATTATTTACCTATGATATGCATATGCGATGTTTTTGAGACGATTGTTAATGATATGCTAAACTTTTATTTAATGTTTTTTTCTGTACCTACATCCCCAGAACAGAGGGCCTACCATGACATGTTAAAGCGTGAATCTTCCAGGCGAGAAAGAGGGATGGAGCTATAAAAGATGTATAGCTCCATCCCTCTTTCTTGCCCGGAAGATTTACTCTTTCACACGTCATGGTAGGCCTACAGAAAGGTGTAATGGTACAGTCATAATTTAAAATTGTATAAACCCAATGAGAAGTGGTGGGTCATACTGATCTGTGACCTTACAATATATGTTTCGAGGGTTAAAGATAAAATGGCGGGAAAGTTGGTTTCCAAGCATTATTAATTTCTTGCTATTAGAGGGTGGTGTTTTTTAGTAATTCACCTGTAATATATAGTTTGTACAATGCATATTTTAAAAAAGTTAATCTTTGATGATGATGCAGGTTTATTTATTATTTTACAGTAACTTTCCCGCAGTAGAATATTAGAAAATTGGTAGGGTACCTACCTATATGAAGTTTATTATTTGAATATTGAAATTAATGCACAGAAGCACAAGATAAAGCATCTAAGTACCTAATATGTTACTATCATAAAGAGATAAAACATCAAATTGCAGGGCAACAGTCTCTTATCTGCTTCTGAAGTGTCAATGATTGATAAGATTTATACCAACAAGACATTTTGTAATTTAGGTCATTCATTAGATAATTTCTAACTTCTGAATATAAAAGGTAACCTAGACATGGACATTTTATTGAACATTGCATAGCGAGAAAGGAGGTAATATAGTATTTTGTCACAATAAGGTATATGACCATGGAGTTTCTTGCTCAGTCTTTCAATGGGAGAACATCATAACAAACATAATAGTTTTACTAAAGGTGTCACCGACCAACAATTACATTAATATTAACGCATCCAGTGCCCCCGACGCGTATGTGCGTTTCCTTACGCTACTCTGTGTGCCCTCGACGCACCTGTGCGTTCTATACACAGAGTAGCGTAAGGAAACGCACATACGCGTCGGGGCACTGGATGCGTTAAATTAAAATTCATGTGCTATTAGATTTTGTCATTGGAGAATGTTGTATTGAAATATTATGCAAAGCATTTTGTTTGTGTAATTATGTAATGAGTGTACTAACTGGAGTATTTATTTTTTTCTATAATATAGGTAATCAATATCATTGCTTTCGAGCATTCACAGCCCCCAACTTATGGTTTTAAACTTTCAATCAATTTCAATGGTAATTCGAGACTCAATAGAAGAAAGATAATATAGTTAAAAAGAAATTGATAGTCCAATATTGGTGATGAAAATAGCTCATTGATATATGGAATATAATAGAGAAAAAAGTAATTAATAATAAATAAAAAAGATCCCAGGTTAATAATTAAGAACATATGTTAAATAATTTTCATTAAAACTATATAGTTGATCAACACATTCTCTAAAAAGAAATAAATCAAACACCATTCTCATTAAATACAGGAATAACTGATTTGACTGGCAGGGCCACTGTCAAATCAACAAAATTATGATTTTTTTATTGAAAATTTCGCCTATACTTATTATATATATATACTCTTTGATAGAAATTATTTGAACAGGTTCATGAAAAATAATTATGTACCTACAAGACAATCAAATTGAAAATATCAACAAAGCGACAGTGGCGCCGCCTGGCGTAGCGCGTGATTGAACTAAAATTGACGAGTTTCGATGGCGGGCGAGCAGCCATCTTGTGTATGTTGACTGTTGGGGCGCTGTCAATTTACTGTCACAACGACATTTTATAAAAGTCAAAGGGAATTCAATAACAACAACAAACATCATGTAAACGATTCCACTTATCACATTTTCTGCTATAAATATGTAAAATATTGAAGTGCATAAGTAAATATGCACATACAATATCGATCGGATTGATGCGATGCGTCCACGTTACGTAGGACACAAATGGACGAGCTAAAAATAACCCAAGCACGTGCCAATTCAACAATAAGCTTGTGAAAATATTGGTTACGTAACTCGAAAGGGTCTTATGACAGTTATAAGCATTCTGGGGTGAAATTATTCAATAAAATGTTTCCTAGCTACCTAATATTATACGTAGATACCTAGCTAATGATAAGCAAGCAATGTGGCGCATTGGCGCCATTTTACTTTCGCAAGATCGAGCTCCATGGTGACGTAACAGTCTTAGTTCTATATGTAATAGGTTCAGTTATAGATTTTAGGCCTCCGAGATTTGTTTTTATTGTAATTTACCCACGAAAAATACTATGTTTTCATATAAATGTCACCTTGACATATCACGTCAATTTGACAAGCATGGCGGAAACGTGGCGTCGTTTTGATTTTGGACCGGCTCACCTCCAGGGGATGTTGAATGTGTTCTGTTTGCTACTCGAGCGCTTCTGATGATTTCTCTGGTTAGCTCTCGCACGTCCTGACGTTGCTGGTACGCCATGTCGGGCCGGTCGCGTTGTTCTTGTGATAGACCGGCCGTGGGAGGTAACATCGTTGCTCACTCAATCCATGCGAACACTTCTTTTCACACTCAGTCACTAGTAAAAAATATCAAATTCGTCCTAGTATACAAATAAGTCTGGCAATATCACTTAAAAAACAGAAAACGAAAATAATTCAGCTCAACTACGCACAGCAAACCGAACAGAGCGCGACTGTCGAACGGGGGACGGCGGGAAGCTACAGCGCCGCCGCGCCTCTATCTCGTTCTAACTTGTTTGTAAACCTATTTCTTTCTCGCTTGCTCGACAACGATTTGATGACAGATGCAAGTGTATATGTCAAAACAAAGCGTGGGCTCTATTAAATGTCAAACATTCAACCGTTTTGTGTAGCGACATCTGTGTATATTTCAACGAATTGAAAGAAAAATGGGCACAAAGATATTTTAACACTGTTTTCACCGCCTTCTGAACTCATTGAGTAATACTGTCTAGTGTCTAGATTACCCGTAGCCCGTAGGATACGAAAATAACAATTTCAGATCGGCTATTGATAAAAATCGATAAAGTTATTTTTCGTTAATCATAATTCATAGGGTTCAGTTCGCCTACGAAATAAATTTCACTACATACGAAATACCTAGGTAACAACTAATTTAACGATAGCTTTTTTTTTAAACAATACCTAGATCGCATTTTTTAAGTATTATTACATACTTATTACAATACGCTATAGTAAATTATGATTACTTTAGTTACTCACCCGGCGAAACATAACGCAAGCGTTGTTACACGCAGGTTTTATGGGAGACCGTGGTATCACTCCGCCTTACTTAGTTACTCTATTTACCTTGTTACTTTGATTTATCTACGTTATTACTTATTTATTTGTGAGCATTAATTAAAATAATCTGACTTTCGATTGCATTTACCTACCTGTTGAAATGAAGATTCAAAGATTGCCCACAAATTCTACACTTAATCAGAGATCTGTTATTTTTGGTAAAGCCTGCTTATTTTTGGTGCTATGTTAATGAGTAGGTATGTATCTGTTGGATACCTATGCCATATAGTGTTGGATGCTTGTCAAGCCTTGACGTATTGGGTAATAGGCTGTTTATGTGTAGGGTACCTATTTATGTGTGTCGTTTTAGAGTATAGGTTTTATGCAAATAGAAACCGGAACATAAGTGTAGTAAATTGGAAAATAAAGTTTATCTAACTGTTAACATCCTTCCTATCTATCTAGTAAGTGTATTTACGTTATCTCTGTAATATCTAGTTCTATCCCTAATACTTGGTTTGATTAATTTAGTAGGTAATTAAACAAAGTTTTAAAAGTATGGACGGTTTTATTTAATGCGTCGATGAGGTAAAAAAATAAATTATTAAAATGAATGATACATCTACGAAATTATCTAAACAGTCGTACTATTGTCATTTACTGCTGCTCCTGCAGTTTCTGCATGGATTCAATGAGGGGCTGGTATACCATCTCGGTGGCCTTGGTTGAGAACTGGAAGTCCATGTGGCTGAAGTGTTCTTCGGGCACCTTCAAAGTTCCTCTCACGTTGGGAAGCTCCTTTTGCAGTCTAGCCACATCTACAGGGTTAGCTAGCCAGTCCTCTTCGCTGTAGACCAGGGTGACAGGGACTTGAACTTCATCGATGTTGTACTTAGGAGGCACTTCAGATCCATATACTTGCCAATTGATGTAAGGACCATAGTTGTATCTTCGGAACTCATTTGAAGCAACACCCTGAGCGTATTGCTTAATTACTTTGGCAGACGTGCTCGAAGGCAGATGTCCCATAACAACGGGCAGGATTCTGGGGTCCATAGAGTCTACGTTCATACCAGACATAATAAAGTTGACGTTTGAGCAGAGTTTCTCGTTGCCGATCTCGATCTCGCACATAACTCCTCCGACAGTATCGATCAGCTCCTTGTTGAGAGTGAAGGCTCCGTTACCAATTTGGCGACTTAACCGTTCTTGGAATTTGTTTGTGGGAGCCATCATGCGGAGAAGCGGACTGCGCACGTTCGTCATGAAGACCATTGGTGACAAGGCGTACATCATGATGATTTTGTCGTTGTACTCGGGGAGGGTGGCAGTGAGTGCGAAGAATGACGTAGTTCCTTGAGCAATACCAACGTAGTACAATTTCTTCTGTTGGGTTGTTTCCAGAGCGAAGTCGATCATAGCTGGCAAGTCATGAAGAGCGATTTCGTCGTTGCTGAATTGCCAAAAGTCGGACATAGCGGGATGTCTGGAGACGTGGCGTCTGGAGTACTTGTTACCACGAGCATTACCGAGCCATACATCGTAGCCAGCATCAGCAAGCAAGTAAGCGAGTGACTTGCCGGGTCCCATGAGCAGCCAGTCGTCAGCACTTCCAAGAACACCGTGCATCAGGAAAACAACTGGTCTCTTCTGAACATCACGAGTTCGCATCTTAGGGGGGATCCTAAAAACAGTAAGGACGTAGCCGTCGTCTGTCTTGACAGTGTGCTCCTCGATAGTGTACTCGTATTTCTGTGCTAGTTGGGTGGCGTTGAGGACAACATTTTCATTTTCTGTCTGCTGGGCAATTTCCAAAACCTCACGTAACTTGATCTTGTCCTCCTCTTGAATGTGCCTCATTGTCTTCTGGGCGTCGCCGAAGATTTTTTCAATGTCTTCAACATCTTGAACCAGTGATTTGGGTCCGACAGCCATCTTTAAACCGTTCCATCCAATAACATTACCGTTGGACTGTACATTCTGTATGTTCTGGTTCATGGTGGAGTCGACTACGGACAGTCTTGGTTCAGTCCATCTTTGACCTCGGAGTTTTTGAATCTGTTTAGCTTGGTTCGTCCATTCCATGGAATCTTCAGAGCTTTCGCTGGAGGACGAGCTGGACATAGATTCACGAGCGAAACGAGGCTTGTTGTGGTGATGATGATGATGATCACCATGGTGGTCGTGGTTGTGCTGGTGAGATTGATGATGGTGGGTAGAGGGCCACTCTTGATTGTTCAGGGATGGCAGCTGGTTGGTAGAATGCCATTCCAAGGGTTTCTGAGAAGGCTGCTGGTGTGTAGATTGCCATTCCTGGGGTTTCTGGGAAGGTCTCTGGTTGGTAGAGTGCCACTCCTGGGGTTTCTGAGAAGGCTGTTGTTGTCCTGGCTTACGCAGAGTCGGTTGCTGGTACTGCATGGGCACGGACGGCTGCTGGTATTGCACGGACTGGGACGGCTGCTGGTGCTGGATGATCTCAGGGAGCTGCACTTGCAGTTTGGATGTTTGTTCCTGGAGTTGTTCGTTCCATTTTCTCAGGTCTTGCTGCAGGCGCTCTTCTTGGGTTTTCTTGTTGCCAAGAGTGTTGTCGAATAGGTTTTGACCGGCGGATTTGATTGATTCAACCCAGCCCAGTGGTTGGTTGAGGTATTTGTTATTTAGTATTGGCTGCAGAACGTCGAGGCCGTCCACTCGGCGTTCCTGCTGCTTGAAGATACTCGCGGAGATGCCAGAGGCTAGAGCCAGGCAAGCCAATACACAAGCTGCCTTCATCTTGCCGGTTTGAAGTGTGTCGAATGAAGAGAAATGTCCAGTATTTATATGCAATATTTTATTAATTCAGCAATCTGACTGGGTATGTTGTCGTGTATGTGTGAGTTGCTTGAGTGTGCAGGCACAGCAATGTTAGTGCAGCGTAAGCGCAAGCCGTTGCTAGTGAACCTGTAACACAGTCAGCAATTCATTGAAATATAATTAATTTATTATTGTTGGTGTTTCATAACATAATATCATGCGCCTTTATTTCTTAAAAGGTTAAGTAGGGATGTAAATTATTAAAAGGAAGATCTTGTACGATTTTTTGTGTGGGGAAAATTATCAAATGGCCCTGGTAAGGCGAGAGGGAGTGTCAGACTGACTAAAAACCACCCCGTGCCTTCTGCTCCAGGCCGAGGTAGCGGTTCTTTATGGCGCTGGACCCGCAACACCAGATTTTTATTAGGAGTATGAAAACTAACATTTATTACCTAGGATATCAAGCCTAAAGTTGTTGTGGAGTACATTTAATAACAGTTAAAACAAATCGATATTTGCAAGTCTATTAAAATATAAGAATAATGTACATCATTCTTATATTTTAATACTACTTATCCAGCGTAATAACTGACAGAAATTATATCAACTAAGACACACAGCCTATGTTATCTTCTTAAGGTGTAGGCAGAGATGGCAATATTGAAATTCATCTTCAAATTCTTTGATAAACAATTACATTGTCTGATCCAACAGACAAACTGTGTATACAGTTTTGTTGGACATTTTATACTTTTTATAATGTAAAATGTAGGTACCTTCTAAGTAATAATAAATAAATAAATAAAATAATAAAATATTAGTCTCAAAAGACGATGCTTATTCAAAGCAGCATTTAAATTTGTTTTTGGTTCCCGATGTGTCTAACATTGGTAGCTAATTTTCTTCCAAGTTTTCTCTACAGATTCAGACTAGGTACTATGGACAAGATTTTTCTTTTAAAAATACTTTGCTCCACAGCAGGCTTTTCTCCTGTGTCGTGGGTGCATTTACAAATAAACAACTTCACATACAAATCACACCCATACCCAGAACAACAATTTATCGATCACACAAAGAGGTGTTTCGTCCGGGAATCGAACCCATGAGACTTTGCGCGGCCGCCAGTTGCGCAGCCACCGCGCCAACCGTGCAGTCGAATAATAATAATAGTTCAGTAACTCAAAATTAAAAACAGACATTACAACTGGGAATTATTAGGTACTAAAAATCTGCACTTAAATAAAAAAACACTTTGTAATATTTTTCTATACTTTTTAAGATATTTTGCTCAATTCGAACTCCACTGCCAGCTTAATGAGCCTGCATCAGAACCAGTGCCACCCATATGATTAGACCCAAGAGCTTACACACCCCTCGCCCTACTACAAGAAAGAGAAGCCTTTTCCCCTCTTAAAAAAAAAATTGATCAACGAGGTAGTACCTAATCCGTTAAAACTATGCGTGTGTTTGACTTCGAATGTGGTAACTGGTGTTGAAAAAACTAGGGTAAAACTAAGTACCTAGATAAGTACAGTAAAATGTAGCGAATCTAATTCTGGCTTTCCATATGACTTTCACCGATAATTTTATTAAGACTCCGGTGAATTATGGTGTACCTCTTTATAACATCAGTATAGACTAG